CTCGCTGCCATCGTATCTCATATTCAGGAAGCGGCGGGTCTGGACAATGTTGAACGGCTTCATGGACTCATTACCTCGGGCGGTGTCTGCGAGAATATCCATGTCGCTATATATCGTTTTGGACGTAGAGTCATCAAAGGCTTTTGCGCATACCCGCTCTTCCTCGTGCACGAGGTCTGCCAATCCAATTCCGTATGCAGAGAGGATAGAGGAGTATTTGTGGATTAAAACTCTCTTAATCCCCAGGGCTTCGGCGATAGCGCAGGCATGTTGACCCCCAGCACCACCAAATGATGCGAGGTGATGCTTTGCAACATCGTGACCCTTGGCTTCGGTCAAACTTCGAATGGGTCCACACATCGCCGAATTGGCGACCTGAAGGAAACTGCAAGTGGGACTTCTTAGTAGCCGAATCTTATCCTTGTATTTCGAATATTACTCACCCGTCTGCAACCTCTGCCCATGTCAGTGTTTTACCCGTCTCTTGGTTGATAGTTTGAGTGAGATCCTTGAACTTGACAAGAACAACCTCTCTATCCAATGGTTCATCCTCATTAACACCAAACACCGAGGGGAACTCCTCTGGAAGCAATCGTCCCAGTGCCAGGTTTGCATCGGTCACAGTCAAAGGACCTCCTTTGCGATAACAGGCCGGCCCAGGATTGGAGGTGGCACTCTCGGGACCAACTGACATAAGCCCATATTTCCAAGTCAGTATACTTCCTCCACCAGCCGCGATGGTATTCACATTAAGTTGTGGGGCTTGGATCGCTATCCCAGCAGTGGTTGTTTCAAATATGTGATCCAGTTCGCCGTCATATCGACTGACGTCAGTGCTGGTGCCTCCCATATCAAATCCAATGACAGGGGTCTGTTCTTCTGTGTCGAAACATGTCTGAGAAAATCCGATAACACCTCCCGCAGGTCCAGAGAGAATAGAGTGCAGCCCAGAGAGGCTTGACGATGGCACCAATCCACCATCTGACTGCATGAACTCCAATCTCGTCCCCGACTTGTCGATATTGGGGAAATTCTTTGAGAATTGTTGCAAGTATTGTTCGATGTTTGGAGTCAGGTATGCATCAACTACCGTGGAGTTTCCACGAGGGACAAGTTTTGGTCGTGGAGAGGTTTGATGTGAGAGAGATATATATTTGAATCCAATCTCGAGGGCCAACTCACGAATCTGTAACTCATGAGTTGGGAAGATGTAAGAATGCATGAGGCATACCGCCAGCGAGCGGAAGCCCTTTTTATATATATCTTGCAGATAAACCCGAGTACTTGCCAAGTCGATAGGCTGTAGCACTTCAACAACCTCACCAGAGGTACCAAGGATTGACTCAACTGGCTCTGGAGATTGCAGCTTCACAGTACGGAGATTCGAGTCACTGCATGCCCCAACTGTCACGCGCTCTTTAACCTCGAAGACGTCCGAGTATAACGGTTTTGATCGTCGAATTGACAAATCGAACATGTACGGCCGGCTTTGGTTACCAATATACAAGATATCCTTGAAACCCTCGGTGACAAGTAATGCTGTGCGCTCGCCTTTACGCTCGAGTAGCGCATTGGTTGCAACCGTTGTGCCCATGCGGATCCATTCTGTTGAATTAGCACCAAAAGATTAACCAGGTATGTTTCTGAGCTGATGACTCTTACCGACATCCTTGAGATCTAGTTCAGAGCCTCGTGGGATTGAAGTTTTATAGTGTATCTCCAAAACACGGCGAATCGCCTCAGTTGGCGCATCAACGTAATTCTTTGGGTCGACAGACAAGATCTTCACGAGAATATCGTCCCCGTTGATCACTTTGCAAATACAATCGGTGAAGGTTCCTCCGCGATCTGGTCTAGTCAATACTATATTAGATTATATCGAGGGGTATCAGTACTCACCAATGGAAATGCTCAACGGCTTTTTGTTGGTAACTTCAGGCATATTGGATGTGATTAGATGCTCAGTAGAATATAGTAGAATTGGTGAGTTGATCAATGGGCAATATGGGGTAAAACGTGGTCTATTAGAGGTTCTATGTAGCTTATCATTAAAGTCCAATTCCATGACTACGCAAGAGTAGATAAACGATCCCCTCTTCGCGCATCTCTCCGTTGTGGAGGTGGTGGAGGAGGAGCCCCTGGGGAGTTCTGGAGAAGAATGAGATAAGACCGGTGGAGCTCCACCAGTCCACCGACGAGCTACAGTCTGGAAGTGCGACTGTCAACGGATTGTCCACCATCTCTTCATCTATTCGGTGAAAAGCACGAAATGTAGTGGAATGTACGCTAAAAAAGAAACAGTCTCATAAATGCATCAATCCCACACTCTTAGGAACTCTGATCATCTCTCTACTATATTTTATCCTACTTCTTCTACTTCTTCTTCTACTCCAAAATGGGATCTATCGGTAACTATTATGAGCCCAAGGCAGCCAATGGAGTTGGTAGTGGGATCAAGCCTTATGAAATCGTGGAGGAACCCAGCCGATACCGTCGCAAAATCCGCATCATCGTGATCGGAGCTGGCGCGAGTGCATTGAACTTCGCCCATGACATCGACACAAGTTCATTAGATACTGAACTGGTTCTTTATGAAAAGAACCCCGAGATTGGTGGCACTTGGTATGAGAACCGCTACCCCGGATGTGGATGCGACATACCTTCTGTCAACTATCAGTTTTCATGGGCTCCCTCTCCAGACTGGACCTCCTTGTAAGTGAAACCAAGTACCCGTCTTGTCCGAACAAGTAAATGTGCATTTTAACTTACTGGTTGGTAGTTACTCGGGTGCACCTGAAATCTTGAAATATTTCAAGGGAGTTGCCGACAAGTATGGGCTTCGGAAATATATTCGCCTGGAGCACAAGGTGGTAGGCGCATTTTGGGATGAGCAGGATCAACAGTGGCATGTAAAAGTCCAGAAAGGAGATAATCCTGAAGATGTCTTTGAGGACAAAGGTCACATATTGATCAACGCAAGTGGTGTGTTGAAGTGAGTACCCTTTTCCCTTATGAGTGTAACACGTTTGGGACTGACCAACTTCAGCAAATGGAAATGGCCAGCAATCAAGGGCCTAGAAACCTTCCAGGGCCCTAGACTTCATAGTGCAAATTGGGACGATAATGTTGAATTGAAGGGGAAGCGTGTGGCTGTTATCGGCTCAGGCTCCTCTGCAGTGCAAATCGTTCCGAGCATTCAGCCAAGTAAGTTTTGCTGATTGGAAGCGCGAAAGTATATTAACAACCAATACAGAGGTGTCATCTCTCAAATGCTTCATTCGCAGTGCCTCATGGGTGACAGCCGGCTTTGGTCAACGATTTGCAGGAAAAGGGGGATCCAATTTCAAATGTAAGGCTCCCTTCAAGCAGGCCGTATCAAATCTGGAATCAAAATACTGACAATAACAGACAACGAGAAGCAAAAGGAGATACTGCAGAATGATCCTCAGAAATACCTGGCATATCGGAAGAAGATTGAGTCTGAGCTCAACTCCCGTTTCCGATTCATTCTGAATGGATCCGAGGAGCAAGCAAATGCGCGAGCTGTAGGACCCCCGACTCGACCAAGTCCACTTCCAGCTCTCTGCTGACAAGGAAACCCCCTTTAGTACGCGGAGAAAGATATGCGGTCCAAGCTTGCCGATCATCCAGAAATCGCAGACTCAATTGTTCCGAAGGACTTTGCAGTGGGCTGCCGAAGACCTACGCCCGGAAACGGATACCTCGAGGCGCTTTGCAGCGAGAACACCTCTGTTGTCAGTCAATCAATCGAAGAGATTACCCCCAAGGGCATTAAGACTGCGGATGGGGTTGAGCACGAGGTCGATGCTATCGTATGTGCTACTGGCTTCGATGTTAGTTGGCGGCCATCGTACCCGACAATCGGCCGGGAATCTCGCAGTCTGAGTCAAGAATGGAAAGATATTCCAAGGACTTACCTTTCCATCACGGTTCCGCACTTCCCCAATTACCTCAGTGAGTCCCTCCGCACCCTCAGCCCTAGAGTGGTATGATACTAATTCCGGTCGAACAGTCTTCAACGGTCCCTTTGGACCCTACGGCCACGGAAGTTTCCTTCCGATTACGGAGACCGTATCCAGACATTTCCTCCAGATGCTCGAGAAAATGTCATCGGAAGGCGTGACATCGTTCGACCCCAAAGCTGAGGCAGTTTCGGATTTCTTCGAGCATCACCGAAACTTCATGCCTCGTACCGCTTGGACATCCCCATGCCGCTCTTGGTTCAAGCAGGGGACAACCGATGGGGAGGTGATGATGTGGCCGGGCTCGAGAATTCATTTCTTTGAAACTATGAAACAGCCTCGTTGGGAAGATTATAACCTCGGTTATACAACCTCTAATCGGTTTGGTTACCTTGGCAATGGCTTCGCTGCGCGTGAGTTCGATGGAAGCGATCTGTCGTGGTATCTGGGTACAATTGACGGGAATGAAAAGGCACATCTCCCCGACGAAGATTTTGAGGCCTTCATGGTATAGTGGACCTGGGAACAGATAGACCAACCCTATTTTTGAATCAAACACATATTCGGACTTTATTAGCTTTTAAAGCAGATGTAGTTAAACAGATTGACTGTAGAAGTATGGCGGTAGTTTTGAGGATCCTCCTAATCAACTTCTTATGTAGCTCTTTCTGATCTCTTGATGTGTTTACGAAGACGTATAGGGCAATTTTAGAGGACCTTGGTGCCTTAATGCGTTATTTTAGAACGGCAGGAAAATATGAATACTTGAATTACTATTACACGTGCCTTAATAATCAAAGTACCTGGCTTCTACCAGCGTTGCTATGTAGGGTAGCCGTGCCAAGCACCGGTTCCGGTTGTTGGCACTTCTACCGTGAGAGTTGTCAAATTGCCCCCTAGTCTTTGTATCAATGATCGAACCTGCTTGGTAGACTTGGGAACATAAGAGCCCGCTATGATTAGTCCTCCCGTGCGTCTCGTGGGTTCGAGCGTTGGGATCTGTCTCGGTAAAATGGCCTATTTTTCTGGGATCCCGAGGCGACTAGACACAAAGCTTGCCCCTGTTCGATAAGCAAAAAGGAGTTTGTGCTTTCGGCGTACTGCGAGTGAGAAGTCAGCTTGAAAGAACTATGTGATGTGAAGGAACTGGAAAGAAACAAGGATGATTACCTTCCAATAATGCCAGGCTGAACATAAGCATGCCCTCACTCTGAACCGCATTAACGATCAGAATTCCACCTTTGGGTACGAGGAGTAACTTTTGTTCAATTGCAGAAACTCCCCCAAGTCTGATATCCTCCAATGTGACAGACAGTATGTCTTTGCTAGAAAATCGTGATCCAGCTTTTTCACGAATCCACTCTCTCAGATTTGAGGATCTGTAGCCAAAGGTTCTAACCTTGGCGAATGGAGTCTTTGCGGCTGTATTCCGGTCACCCACGTACTGTACGTCATCGATGGCGTAGCGAACACCTGGCCCAAAGAACGGTGCAAGAATCCATACGTCGGGAGAGCCAATCGTATCAATATACGATTCGACCTCTTCCAGGAAATGGCCACGCAACGTAGAGTCACCCCGAAGGACAACTTCGAACTTTTTGCCAGTCATATCAGCCGCCTGAGAAACGTTTCGCAGTATCTCACTGACTAGCATGCGAGCTTCATTGGGAGGCAAGGCACGACTGTTGGTCAAAATGAAAAAGCCTTTGCTCTTTGATCGGAACTCTGAGGCTAGAAGATCAAGATCCCACATGGTGAGGACATTGATATCGTGGCACGTCTGCGTTCCTGTTGGGTCGTCGTCGAGAACAACGAGATTGCAGTCTTGCTCGGCTTGTAAATGATCTTGGATATTGCATAGGAGGTCTTCAACGTTGTTCTCAACTTTCGGCAATTACAGTTCCGAGGGGGTAACTGAGTCATATTCGGTAATATGCAAAGGCTCGGTCGAAAGATTTGACGTTGTCCATAGCTTGAGGAGCGCTGCTTGACCTTCCCCGCCCATACCATAGGTCACAGCCTTTTGTAACAAGTTAAATGTAGTAGCTGTGAGTTGAAGGGGATAATTATGCATCTGGGCAAGGGTGATAACTTCTTTCTATTGATTTGGTTAGTGGCGTCAATCGAGGCTTTGAAGAGGACCGGCTTACTAGCTTGTTCCGTGTATGCGTGATGGTGCATCCAGATAATAGATCACCAGCCAAAATTTGTGAGGCAACTTTCTTGAAGGACTCACTAGCACCAGCGACGTTTGAAATAATTGACGTGAGGGTGCTGGTCGAAATGCCAAGTTTATTTCCGAGGGCCAGAGCTTCAATTGCTGCTAAGGTGTGGACGGTCTCCAGTAAATGGCAGATCAATTCAGATGCGCGCGAATCATCAGGGCTCTGGCAATGTGTTGTTGCTTCGGAAACCAGAGAAGGGGTTTGTGGTAGAAAAATCCGAACAAGATTCGAATCGTGGTCCTTTCCATACCCCATCCGCGCGGCATATTGATAAAGTCGTTCTGTCGAAGATGCAATATACAGAGGTAGGTGATGAAGGATACCTTGGGGGGTCACCATTCGCTGAAGTGTGTGTTAGCGAAAGAAATTTGATGCTGCCCTGTAGGTTACTAGGAGCAGGAGGCTTACCAGATCCTTAATGAAGATACTGATAGCAGAATGAGGGGTCCAGTCGTTGGACAGCATATGAGGTACTCGAGTCTCAAACATGCGACTGCACGCTGGGCCTTTCAGGACAGTCTGATAGAACTCCTTGGTGTTCACTCCCAATGTTGCAGCTAGCCCCATAGCTTCCGCAGAGACAGCAATATGGATATTGGCAAGGTGCTGGTTGACAAGTTTGACCTTGTTTGCAGCACCTAGTCCTCCCTCAATCTCGTATAGATTCTCGCCCATTGACTCCAAGATTGGCTGAGCGATATTCAAAATATCCGTCGGGCCCGAGGACATAATGTTCAGCATTCCTCGAGCGGCGCGTATGGTTCCACCAGACACAGGACAATCCAACAACTGTATGTCTGGTCTTTGGAAGTCTTGATGGATGCGTCCCAAAATTTTCACTGGAAACCCTGGAGCAACGCTTGAGCACAATATGACAATCGCATTCTGTGTCAGACCAAATACTGCGCCCGTTGAGTCGGCGAAGAATGCCTTCTCGGTCTTCGCAGAATTCGCGACCATGCAGATAACGAACGATGCATCTTGGACACATTCCCTTGGATTAGCAGCAGCGGCACCGCCCATGATGAGCAGTTTCTCTAGGGCCATAAGATTAAAGTCGAACCCGGTCACAGCGAAACCGTCTTCGAGTAAGTGTACGGCCATTCCCATCCCCATGGCACCCAAGCCGATGAAGGCGACATTTGGCCTAGAAGCCATTCTCACCAGTTTGACTTGTATGTTTGAGGTATGTTGATGTCGAATTGGAGGATAGTTGTGAAAGCCCACTGTGCAAGACGTGACAATAGTTAACTATGTAAACAAAACAGTGCAAAACATGCAAAACGCAGTGTTTCTATTTAGACCAGACGAGTGGTGAGACGCCCGATTTTTCCCACCAACAAGTTTGAAGATTAGCGGTTTGGCGTACTAAATACCACATTCTCGCATATCCAAGTCACTAGATCTAATTAAAGTCGGCCCCAAGGGCGTTGGAAGAAAAATGAGCTCCATCACTCCACCACTCCACCACTCCACCGTCACTCCACTCTCTCTATGTCCCTTCACCAGGTCTCGTCTCATCGACCCTAGACTTGCGCACCGCGATACGAAAACAACGGGGGAGTCAAATTCCAGCCTCTTTGTGTCTTCCTACGAGTTGAGTAAAGCACTCGCCTTTACATGATACATACCCATAAACCCTTCACTGACCCAGCACAATCTATGTACCTAGGTCCATACGCTAGTGAAGCATGTTATGGCAAGTCATGATGCGAACAAATTCTTATTATCAGAGGCGAAATGAAACAAATCAGCATTCAATCATCACTCTATATGGTTTTATTCTTTTATAAATTCTTCAAAGCCTCTGAAGAATCGTCACAATTATTCGCGAGTCTCACGCTCATTTTCGCTTAGACGCCCTTTGGTACGACGAATATACCAGCCAAGAAATTCCAAGAAATTCTTTAATTATTTCATGCAATACACGGAGAGAGCTTTTATAATATTACAACTCATTCTCTAAGTCAAGTAAATCGAGGTGACGTTAAAAAGGGAATCGGGGTTGAGCCGGATCCACCTGATGCAACTGCAACATTGCACTTACACCTCGAACACTTAGACATTTCAAGGAGATTAGTTAAATCACCTCTTAGACTCTACCTAGGTAACTATTGAAGTGTGTTCTTGCCAACGAACGTTTGAATGTAACAAAAGATAAGGCAAGTTCGATGGATGCGGGGTAACCGAACATATATATCCGGGGATATACTATGTAAAGGAATATCTTGTCCAACTTACACCCCCAACATGGTCAACATACATGAAAATGATACGAAGAACGACGCAAGAGTTGATTTGACCTCCGCCGCACAGCCACATTCCACCTTGGAGGAATATGAACGGCTCTTTGGCGTCGACGAGGATGCGTATGAACAACCAACAACCACTAGGAAAGAACTTTGGTCATATTACCTCTATTACAATGGAGATAACGGTGTCGGCCCAGGTTCCTACAGCCAAGCCCTGTAAGTACAATGAAAAAAAAAAAAAAAACAGAATTTCCCAACTAATCTCGAGAAGTTTCCAGTGGGCCTTGAATGGCGCCGGACATCAACCTGGCTCGAATCCACCCAAAGCCTGCACCGATTCATCGGCATGTGTCGTGCCGTGGGCTGGGGGTACGCGATCTGTATCTTCGGTGGTTCTTATTGCCAATGGCCTTTGCTTCACATTCATGACGGTGATATTCGTCTGGCTAGGAAGTGCTGCGGACTATGGAACTTTCGGCCGGTGGCTTCTTCTGGCATTAACGGTGGTCTGCTGGGCACTGCAGTATGGCATGATGTCCATCCGGCATCCGAGCCAGTGGCCGATAGCGATGGGCCTGTACGTGGTGGCATACATTGCCTACGGTGCAACGTTGGTATTCTACGCTGCTGTATTCCCCCGTCTGGCGCGGTATACGCCGCATGTGCGCAAAGCGAGAGAAGAGGATCTTAGAGAGGGGAAGATAGACCAGGAGGAATATGATACTATTGAGTCACTGGAGAGGAATCATATCAGGTGAGTTTGGTCCCTTTGAGCTCCTGTTTAACATGCCGCTGACAATAGTAGCAACATTTCAACGGCACACAGTAACATTGGATACCTACTCACGCTCGTGCTTAATCTGAGCGTCCTACTTCCACTACAGAATAACAGTTTCTCGAATAACCTGGCACTATGTCTTACCAACTCATGTAAGGTTTCTGGGCAATCCAATAAACAGTCGGACTATCTGACCTTCTACAGATTGGGTCATTCTTGGTATCTGGTGGTTCATTTTCCAGCAGCCAAGACCAGGTCCGAAGATACCAAAGGGGTCAAGCTACACCACTATCGGGTTTAAACAAATATGGCTGGCCATTCGAGAAATCAGGTCTCTTCCACAGACATTTCTGTACTTTTTTGCCTATTTTCTTCTTGCCGATGGCCTCAACACCACTGGTAGGTTCTTTCTTATTGACTTGCTGCAAATAAGACTCGCTACACCCACACTCATCGATGTAGACAGAAAAATATACTAACCTCAGTAGGTACCCTTGTCAGCATTATCCAAAACGATTCAGTTTCATTTTCTTTCTTGCAGATTACATATCTTGGTATTACCCAGGCTGCCTGCTCGATCACCTCAACATTCGGCTTTTGGTATATACAACGGTACTTCAAATTTGAGACGAAGACCATGTTTTTGTTCACCAATTCCTTCAGCGTTCTCATCCCCTTTTGGGGGATGCTTGGACTGTTGACCAATCGCATCGGGTATCACAATAGGGTATGTATCAGCCCCTAACTGAGAGTTTACAGCTAACAACCATGGAGTGGGAATTTTACTTCTACAATGTCATATTCGGGCTTTTCCAGGCTCCATACTATGCAGTAGGTGGAAATTCGAATGGTACCCAACATGATTCATGTCTCTCTGATTTCTAACATTATGCCAGTACGCTCAAACCATGATCAGTGAACTGATGCCACGCGGCTACGATAATATGTTCTTCGCGCTTTTTGGAATAACTAATCGTGCAGTAAGTCGAATAACTCTGGTGCTATTCTTCCTTCAAGTACACTAACCTTCTAGTCTTCGATCATCGGTCCCAATGTCATTCAAGCCATCATTAACAATACTCACAACAACTGGATGGGCTTCCCATTCTTGTTCGCTATTTGCGCCGGGGCAATGATCGCTATTTGCTTTGTAGACATCAAAAAGGGTCGTGAAGACTGTCGGAAATTCACCGAGCAGCGCAAGATAGACCGTGTCATGGCGGAGAGTGGTCTAGATCCCAATGATATCGCAAAGGGGAAGCAACCTGTTCGTCACGAAGATGTGGTTGAAGTGCAAAATGAGCACACGGGCGTTTTGGTGAGTGATTAAACGTGTATATTTTGGGAACGCTTGAGTTGTTATTCTCTGCCTCTCTTTTGGTTTACTTTTATCATAACATCATTCTATCATTAACCCTTACAAAGACTCCCCCCACTGAGATATTCCAAAATTGAACATTCAAGCCTCAGCCTTTGTCGTGTTCTCCTGTATCTTTTCGGTATTCTCCACAGCCTTCCGTTGGTTCTTCTTTTCGACCTTATCCCGCCATTGATCGCCGAAAACAGTCGTGAGCCATACACCGACCCCAGACGCAACCAAAAACAGAGCGCTGATGGTACTAAACCACCCCACTCCCATACTCTCTACCGCCGGAAGAACAAGTCCAGACCCTAGAGCACCGAATACGTACCGTACCAGATAGCTACCGGCAACAACTTCAGCACTCCGGCCGCTTGACTGCATAACATCCAGGCTGTAGGTATTGAGACTAGGGAAGCAAAACAGCTGGGCCACTCCCTGGAAAAACATCGCGAGGACAGGGACTGGAATTCCACCAACTGCCTTCTCGACCGTCCAACCGTAGATCAAGATACAACCGGGGATGACACCACCCAAAAATATCAGACAAGACTTCAGTCTGTCTTCGGGGACTCGGACACCACCGCGCTTGAGGATCCATTTCTTCACCGTATGGTCTGCCCACCTTCCGCCCATGAGTGTGCCAACAAGATACCCACAGCCTGGCGCGATGTAGAACAACCCGGTCTGTATAGGGCTGGTGAGATGGAAGCGTGGGTTGAGTACGTATCGAATCGGAGTCAGGAGAGAGTATTGGTTCCAGACGAGAGCGCCGGCAGCGAGACCCGTGCAGAAGAGGTTGGGGTATTTAAATAGCATAATAGCAACTTGGAGGGGAGAGATCCGGTGCCAAAGGTATTTGGCCTTTTGCCACGTCGTCTTATCGGCCATGTCGCCTTTCGTCAGATGCGGGTAGGTTTCGGGGAAGAAGAAGAAGACGAGGAGCGTGCCGCAGCCTCCAAGAGCTGTCTGGAGCCAAAAGATCACTCGCCATGAGCAGTAGGTGACAATCACACCCTGTATTTGTAGGTCAGCGGATTGTCTCCGGGCTGTATTTATAGAGTAGACGTACGCCGATGAACGGTCCAAAAGCTGGCCCAATTAGGGTTCCTGACAAAAACCACCCCAATGCTGTTGCCCGTGCTCGAGGCTCGTATACATCACCCAACGCTGAACTCCCAACGACCAAGAAGGATGTTCCTTGAAATGCAGTCAAGATACGGAAAATATAATATGCTGGTAGGTTGTTGGGTGCTAGAGCCGTGCCGATGCTAAACGCAAAGAACAAGAACGCGCTCACAAGGAAGACCTACTCCCAATTAGCTTGTTACTTCGAGATAAACTTCTGCTCGTTACCCACCGGACGTCGCCCCCAGACCTGACTAAAGGGTCCCCAGAAGGGAGCCGCGATGCCCATGAATGCCATATATAGCGCATTGCTTGCGTTTATCACACTTCCTGTGGTGTTATAGGTCGTCGCCACTTCAGGTATAGCAGCTAATATAGAGGTGGAGGATATAGGAGCCAGGAACGAGCAGAACGACAGGACACCAACGATAATCATTTTGCGGGCTGGTGAAAAGCGTAGATATTGTTCCGCATCGACCTCCTGGAAGTCATCATTGGCAACCATGTCATGATGCGAAACATGGCTCCGGACGTGGTCAAGACTATTCACAGCTCCTTCTCGTTGTGAACGCCGGGATTGAGCTCTCTGGATGTCGAATTCATCCACCGAGGATTGAGACCGCCTCTCCTCGCTGGGAACCTTCGAGGTAGTTGGAGACATGGCTGGAATCAAGAGCTAGTGCCTACTAGCCCGTGGTAAATAAGATCTGACTCTCTCGTAGTGCAAATGCAAAATACGAAAAAGAAATCTCTGCAATCTTTTTTTTTTTTTCAAATTCGGCTTCTTTCCGAGATCATGCTCGTCGGGTATATGCGTAGTTGCGCAGAAAGGTCTTCAATTGTAGTAAAAAGTGAAGAAATGAAAGGAAATGGGTTGAGTCTAATCAAGTCAACAGCCATGAGATACATAGACGTCAAGCGTGAGTCATAAAAAGAGAAATTTCAATGCCTCTGTTCCCTATCATCTGGGAGGATCGGCGGTTTGCTTCCGACGTAGCGTTCTAGAGGCCAACAGCCCCCGAACAGAGGGCTTGCTATCATCTCCCAGGCTCCATCCTGCCCAATCTAGAGGCGACGGGCCAGTGTTATTCGGGGAGAAGACCGGTAGTGTTGCCGAGTAGGGCAGAGGAGCGGAAAAGAATCCGGGGGCTACCGAGGGTAGGTCTGTGAGGGAGATACGGTTACTCCGTACGGAGTATATGCGGAGTACTCCCGCGCACTTGGAAAATGAACGAAAATGTACCTCAACCTTTTAGAGTCTTATAATTCGGAAATTTTATACCTTGGAAGAATCCTAGCAGTTTTCAAAGTTTAGGTTTCCATTTTATAGCCTAGCATTGGCCCTAGTGAGAGAGAGAGATGGTCACTAAAGAGTCTTTCACAGGTTTCATGTCAGTCAACATATATATATATATATAGTTATATAACTATATATATATGTAGTTATATATGAATGGATCATCTAGCAAAGAGCAAAGAGCATCTGGAAAACTACCCAATTCGGTGTTGTGGCTGTTCAAAGACACAGCCCCTGCCATGACGTTATCCGCTTCTGACCGCCAACGACCAACTTCGTCCCTCCACCTCCCCCACAATTTCTTGTCGTTTTTCTTGGAGATTTCGAATCTAATTTGATAGCTTAAGGATTCATTCTTATTAAATATGTCCCCTCAGAGCCAGGTCCCCCCCAATAGCAAGGGCTCATGGACAAGTTTCCTAAAGGCATGCAGGCTCATGTGTTTGAGTATACTGGGCTAACAAATTTCTAGTCGATCGCCTCCTTTAACGGTGATCTATCCTCGTTGACTGCTCCTCCCTTCATCCTGTCTACTACCTCCCTCACCGAATACTCCGCCTATTGGGCTGAACACCCCGCCGTCTTCGTGGCACCAGCCAAGGAGGCCGACCCCGCGAAGCGCGCTCTCCTGGTTCTCAAGTGGTTCCTCAGCACACTGCACCAGCAATACTGCAGCCGTAGCGAGAAGCTCGGCAGTGAGAAGAAGCCTCTGAACCCGTTCCTGGGAGAGCTGTTTATCGGTAAATGGGCGGGTGACGCGGAGGTGGGGGAGACTGCCTTGGTCAGTGAACAAGTCAGGTATGCGAGACTACTTCTGTTTGGAACTACAACCCACTGATTGAATCATAGCCACCACCCTCCAGCCACAGCCTACGCAATCCGGAATGAGAAGAACGGTGTTGAGGTGAGAGGATAAATATTGTACCAAGTAATTGAGAGGTGCCAATAACTGACAATACAACCACAGCTGCAAGGATACAACGCGCAGAAGGCCTCTTTCTCTAGCACTATCCTCGTAAAGCAGATTGGCCATGCATTGTACACTATCACCCCTCCCGGATCCGACGAGAAGGAGCAATACCTGATCACGCTACCCAACCTACACATCGAGTCGCTGATCTACGGCTCACCCTTCGTCGAACTGGAGAAGTCAACCAAGATCGTCAGCAGCACCGGCTATGTCGCCAAGATCGACTATTCCGGCAAGGGATGGCTAAGCGGCAAGAAGAACACCTTCACCGCGAGCCTGTTCAAGGAGAGCGAGGGTGAGAAGAAGCCCCTTTACACTGTAGAGGGCCAATGGTCGGACAAGTTCTTTATCAAGGACGCCCGCACCAAGGAGGTCGTCGACTCGTGGAACTCCAAGGAGAACCCCGTCACCCCGCTCGCCCTGGCTCCCCTCGAGGAACAGGATCTGTACGAGAGCCGACGTGCCTGGAGCGATGTGGCCGCCAACATCCAGAAGGGAGACATGGATGCCGTTTCCGGATACAAATCGCGCATTGAGACTGCTCAGCGTGAACAGCGCCGCATTGAGAAGGAGGGAGGCCACGAGTGGGAGCGCCGCTTCTTCAACCGTATTGAGGAGAGTGCCGACGACGCCCAGATCCAGCGTCTTGCTAAATCGGCCGATCTTGCTTTCGAGACCGATAAGACTGGCGGTATCTGGCGCTTCGATGCTCAGAAGGCTGCTGGCGCTAAGCCGCCTTACCACAAGGTTGGCGGCGAGGGTCTCGGCCTCACTGAGTAGATTACCTCCCGGCTTGGATAATTTTTCTTTGGCTCATCTGAATTTGTCTTGGGGCCTTGTTTGCACCACATAGATTTGACTTTTTGGATTCCTATCCTGCACCGTGTCACCTTGCATTTCGATTGTATATAGTTCCCAGTCCAGGTTGAAGCCGAAGCCGCGCACTCGCTTATATGCTTGGATTTGGTGGCTCAACCTTTCCATCTAATGATATGGTATCTTCAATTATATCGGTGGTTTACATCTTGATCTTAATGGAAGTACATCTAAAGGCTGAATGCGGCGTGAGGGACCGATGTCTAGTACTCTCCTTTGCCTACAATAGTTACAATGCCCAGGCTTGAGAAACAGACTCCATATTTAGGTGCCATACTGGATCGTACAGGACATACATAATTCATGACACTTTTAGCCCAGAACGCAACTGAGCATTGGATCTACATCTACCAGACCCATTCAGCCATACATCATAATCATCGACCGGTATTGCACATGGCGAGGAGGCACAAAGACAGAACAACAGAAGAGATAAGTAGGTAGTAGAGGAAAAAAAAAAAGAAAAAACTGGAAAACCGTCCGCAGAAACAAGTGACACACCGGACCCGAATAGACACCGACTAGGTTAGAGCGAGAAAACAAAAAGAAAACAGGAGAAACCTAGAGAGGAATTGGTGAATTTAATACAGAGACCGCATCAGAAGGGAGCAGTGGTAGCAAAGAAGAGCAAGACGGCTGAGAGGAAAGGCAAGGAAACAAGAAAGAAAACAAACAAACATCAAGAAGACAATCCCCCAGAGTAAAAGAAAACCAGCCAAGCTCCCCAAAAAAAGAGAAGTAGAGATTACACAGATGTTGAGGAGAGAAAGATGAAGAGATGGCTGGGTTGTGTCTGTCATTCGTGACAAGACACGAGGTTTCTTTCCCTGTAGAGTGGACAAAAAAACAAACCAAACCCCTTTTCAAATCATCCATAAATGCAACGCCATATGTGTTTGGTGGGTCATTATGTCTCCCCTTCGTTTCGTTTTGTCTTTTTAGTGGCCGTAGTTGCCACCCCAGCCACCACGGTTAGAGTTTCCATAGTAGTTACCGAAGCCTCCACCGTAGTTGTTACCATACCCGGAGGCCTGGTGAGTCTGGGTGGCCGCGCCCTGGTGACCGAGTCCTCCGAGCCCACCGTACTGGGGGTTCAGCTGAGGGTAGCTGCCGAAGGACTGCTGACCCTGCTGACCCTGAAGAGGGGGAAGACCAGTCTGTGCCTGGGGTTGACCGGGGACGCTGTTGGTGGCGGATCCTGGGCGGTTCTGAGCGAGGGAGGGGCTAGGACCGCCGGCCTTGGGGGCTTCAAAGCCCTTGGTCTCATCAGCGGCAACGGGGGCTGTCCGGCGATGGGAGGGTTTTGGCCAAAGCTGCCCTGGGAACGGCTGAAAACATCTGACATCCCGGTACCAAATGCATTGGCACCCGTAGCAGACTGGTTGTCAGACTGCTGGGCAGAGCCAGTGCGGCCGTAGACTGAGTCGCGGCTGGGCATGGCCTGGCTGAAGCTACCGGTGTTTGCGGGGGAAGACGATTGCTGGTCATAGGAGAAAGCACCATGGGGCTGGCCGTACATGGCACCCTTACCGGAGTAGGGGCCATACTGGCTACCATAGCCGTATTGCTGGTTGTGCTGCTGCTGTTGCTGCTGCATGTAGTGATCCTCATACCGGCGAGCATCATCGTACCTCGGGCGGTTACCACCACCGTACTGCTGCTGCTGCTGGCCCATCTGGTTCATGTAGGAAGCGTAGTGGGGGTTGTTGTAGTAGTTAGGGTATTGGTAGCCATATGCGTGCTGCTGCTGCGCAGTTCCAGGCATATGCTGAGCAACGGGGGTCTGCTGAGTGGCGCCGGGGACGGTGGGGTTGGGAGTGTTGTGTCCGCTGTTAGTGGCATCAATAGGGCCGTAGCGGTTGGGAGGCTGCGTGGTGGGAACCTGAGCCTGGGCCTCGGCACCAGAGACACCAAACCCAGCTCCGGCGCGAGGACCGGCGGGGGGATCCTGGGACTGGCCGTAAGAGCCATAGGAGGCGTAGTAAGGGAAACGCTGCTGCTCGGCGGCGTAGAAAGGAGAGTACTCGCTGCCGGTGGTGGCAGTGGGTTGAGCAGGGGCCTGGTTGGCAAACGGCTCTGGAATCTGCGGCTGCGGCTGGCTCACCTGCTGGGTGAACGGATCGAATGGCTTCTGCTGGGGCTCGGAGTAACGAGCGAAGTCGGTAAAAGAGTCGGCAGAAGCGCCCTGGGGGACCGGAGGCAAACCAGGAGCAGGACGCCCAGCGGCACCAGTCTCCATCGAGTGTGGTGCCTGGGTCGCGGGTGGAAGAGAGGCACGGGGAGCAACAGGGGAGTGCTGCGGGGGCTGAGCACGGGTCTCGGCCTCTTCACGGTTCTCATCAATATCAATAGCATCACCGTTCAGTCCCATGCTACCGAATTGAACCGCAGCACGGTCCACTGCGTGGTTGCCGGGCATGACCACAGCCTGCTGCTGTTCCATCACACGGCGTTGAAGACCTGGGGTACGGCCCTGCTTGGTAGCGCTGGGGGGGGTAGGCAGACGAGGGGAAGCGAGAGGGAGTAGTAGCAGCAGCAGCGGCCGCGGCCGCGGGGTCCATACCACTTCCAATGGTGCTTGCGGCGGTGGCGGTAGGAGCGGGAGCGGATACATCGGGAATTTGTTCGAGGTTCGTCTCAGTCAAATCGCCCTTAGGATGGTTAACAGTGGTGGTCGGAATGGCAGGGACCACGGGGTGGGTGGGCTTGGCGATGGGTGTCTTCTGGGAGGCAGCGGGCGCAGTCACAGGTTCAGGAGCGGGGGCGGGGGGAGATGGCTCGGCCACAGGCTCGGCGGCCTTCTCGAGAGCGGGAACAGGAGGGGCGGCTTGAGGCTTCTTTTGCACCGGAGGAGCGGGTGGTTTGGCGAAAAGACTCGCCCACCCCTTCTTTGTGCCCTCAGGAATAACACTGCTCTTAGCCTCGGTCGACTCCCATTCACCCTCGGCTGAAGGCTCTGCAACGGTATCCTCTGCCTTGGGCGCAGCCCACTCCGATGTAACAGCAGGAATAGCAGTAGGCGCCGGAGTCTCTACGGCACTGGACACTGCGCGAGTTCCATTTGTAGCTGCTCCTGCACGACCTCCGCGACCGCCACGGCCCCGGTCTGCGCGAACACGTCCACGACCCTCTATTCCACCGCGACCACGGGATCCACGAGCGGAAGCTGCAGTTGTCTCGGTCGAGGCGCTGGGGGCCTCCTTCGGCTTAGGGCGAGTCCGGTCTGTGGTCTTCTTTTTGACCTCACCCCACTGAGATACATTACCTGCAAAGCCAGTCAGTCATGGTCCTCGAATCACAAGATTCGATTGATATTCGAGTCGGTAGGATTGGGGTTGACGGGAACTCGACCTTCACTGATGCGCTCAATTGCCTCCAAGAGCTCGCCGTTCGAGTCTTCCAGTGCGAACACCAGATCTTCGTCCTTCCAGTCTGGGAACATTTCCTTAAGAGTTGGGAGAGTGTCGGAGTACTTCTTCTTCATCTGTCCAATTTCACCCTCCTCAAAGGATGAGATGTCTGAGTTGTCATTTGCAGATCTGTTTCCACCACGACCACCTCTGGAGCTGAAACCGCCACGGCCACCACGGGCGGATACTCTACCCCGCGAGGCGGAGGATCGATTCTGAATATCGGACATGTTGATTGATGAAGATGTGTGAGATGGAGAAGTATTGAGGGAGGAAGGAGGTCACGATTCGCAAGGAAAGGCTATTGAAATGGAGCACCCTCGCAGAAGAGGAACAGCACCAGAACCACAGGCACGGGGGCCAGAAGAGACGAAAAGAAGAGGTAAAATCAAAGAGATTAATTGGGTGGAGAGGGAGAGAATGCGTTAGGAGATGACAAGATTGAAGAAAGGATCAAAAGCTAACGGGATCTGAGTTGCTTCCCTTCCCTTCAAGTCTTGGCGTTGCCTGGCTTTTAGCGAGTGGCGCTTATTGGATGCTGGGGGAATTTACAGTAACAAAGGGATCTCTTCTCTACTGAAGTCTCTTTTTTTTTTACATTTTTTAAGGTATTTTTAACTTGAAATAATTATATTGGACTGTATTTATAGATATATATATATATATATATATATTTAGTTATATTCTACTAATTGAAATAGAAATATATAATTTTTTAGTAAATCGTTTTTAGTGTCAAGTGTGGTATTTCTTCTACTCGTCATTCACCTTTTTCCCGCCCTTTTGGAAGGGAGACCAGACAAGGCTTGTTTCACCGCCCTCGTCGATCCTCCCTCTTGAACCTTGATACATCATCCTACATGCCTACATAGAGTAACCCAGAAACTTTTATAACTTCTCATCATCATGAAGGGTACATCCATTTTTCAATTCAAGTCCTGGCCCAAAATTCATCAACCTTTACCTCGTACTCCACGAGAGTCTCAGCAACTACTGAATGCCCTGACATCTTCCTTTCGTCGCCAATTAGATGGGGCTTATCCCGCATCAAGCAACAATCATGGCCGACCCCTCTCCAACCCGGAATCATCAGCGCATGCAACCGATCAACATTTGCAGAACATCCTCGATAACCCTCTTTTCCGTATCATTCCAACCAGACCCATCTCACAGGAACCCACTACATTGCAAAGCATTGAGGGCCAACGACGACTAGCCGAAGAACCCATGGCAGTATTTGATCAAATGGCTGCAGCTGGCTCAGTCACTCCACTCACAATCAATGATTGTCTAAAGTCTCAACTTCTCCTTTCCAGATCCCCGGCCGATATGAATACATCTCGGGTGGCATCGAGGATCGTTGATTGGTATTGGGCATCAGATGGCACATCGAGGCAAATGCTTCTGCGTTTGCGTTCAGTGACTACATCATTGACCAAGTTCATGGTGGCAGAGGGATTGCACAGTACTGTCATGCAGTGGTTGCAAATGCTCATGAGCCATGATCTAGGTAGTCAGAATGGCCGGATGACTGAAGGGCTCGCGCGGCAAACCTTCAATCATCTCCTTGTTGATTTTATAGATGCAGAAGCCTGTTTCGGAGATGGCTTTGGCTCAGCGATGGCACATTATCTGAGTGTATGCCAGATGCATTTCCAAAGTGCTTCTTCCCATAAGTCAAGAAAACCGATGCTCCTGGCTGCAGCTGCTCACCTAAGCCGCATGGCCATGGAGCACAAACCATCGGGTGAGCAGGTATCACCGTTAGTATATGACCAGTTCAAAGATACGGTTTCTGTGCTGTCTCCTCGGTCCTTACTGGTAGCATCTGTGGCTGTCTGTCACCCAACAAATCCTGATCCACGCCCATTCCTCCAATTCGTGGCGAACCTCTCACCAAGCAAATTCCAGGTTTGGAATGAAATTAGGCGCAATGCTTTCTTCGAGATTGGTTCGGAGTCTCTTCGCGTCCTCGTTGACCGGAAGAGGTTCCGTGATATCTCCCGGCTGGAGGAACATATTTCAGAACTGCTACCCGAACAGCCAGCAGCTCCAGTCGATGAGAAGTCGCATACATCGTCTGGAGAGGAACAACTCGGTCGTTTGAACTGGAGTTTTACATGATCCTCTGGTCCCAAACTTATTTCACGCCCACTCTACTTTCGCACCTAGCTAGGATGTTTTTTAAGAGCATCTAGACCAACACGAACACACACGAGGCACGTACGTTTCTCTATGTTTCTACCCATAAGAGGCGATCATAGGCAGGACACCGCAGTTATGCCGGCATACTGCTAGGATACAATTCCCCTCTTGATTCATGTGTACTGTTTCACAATTGAAATTACTTCGGCCTGGCTGTTTGACAAGCCTTCATTTCCCCCACCACCGCACAAAGGAAATCCGCTGCCGCTACTTCACCCCAGGTTAGAGCCTCATCTTCTTGCTTCTTGTCAGTTGTGCATATATTTCTTGCCGAGTTGTATAGGGGATTTGAGTTGCAAGGAGGACTCGACTATACCAACATTGGAGGTGTGATGCACCTGAATACTATCAATTATCCTCAAACTTACCTCTTCGTTATACCAAATATACGAAAGCCCTCCTTTCTTGGATATATATAACCCATTGTCAATAGTGGCTCAGCCAGTTTCCTAGACAAGCCATTTGGGTACAATGAAGAGCATAACCTAAACGTCTCTACATGGTTTCCTAACTAATGATAAGATTCATAGCGTTCGAGTACTAACCTTAACAAACCTGTGTTGCCCACAGCTATCTCTTGTATAGAACATTGCTGGCAATTATAATTCTGGAGCTGGTGAGGCTGTGCGACAGAATGCCGTAGAGAGTAAGAGGGCTGGAGCGGCGAATCAGCCGAGGGCATCGTCTCCAGTGCTCTCAAGTACGTCACCGCGCGACCTCACCTCATACTCCCCCCCAAATTAACCGACTCCTCTTTGCTTCTTTTTTTTCCTCATACAAACTAACCTGAGCAAGAATTGCAGTCGCATTGCTTCTGCGAATACCCTCCCATTCAATCTTTACCAATTCGAAACACACTGTCCCGACATCTTGACATCATTGATCCACAATGGCTTCTTCTTCAACCCCCGTGCAAAGGGCAGCTTCAGGTATGTGGTTTATCTACACATGCACTACTAGACTATCCAAGGATTAATTGGTCTAAGCGGCCTAATCTTTTCCTCAATTATGGTTGCAGGACGGTGTTTCTTCAACGAGTTGCTTGTCGCCTGATGCTGACTAAGGGATATACAACAGATCGGGATACTGCCCAGCTAGTCAGGGAACACTCGCACGCATTCCAGAACAGATTAACCACAACTCAAACAGATAGCCCGCCTATTTCTGATCCAACAAATTCCGGTATAGACACCGACCAGCGGAAGGCAGAGGCAGGGCTTGAGGCACCCAAGCCGGCCCCAGAAACCAAGCCGCCTGTGACAGAGCCCACAGAACCTGCCACAGAACCTGCTCCCGGCAGTGTTCCCACTGTCCGTCAGTCACAAATCTCAGTGGGGCCCAAGAATGAGACAGTGGCGGGTGAGAAACGTGACATTGATTCGACTGTGACGCCCACTCCGGCCCTAGCTGAGGACAAGGATGAGCAACCAAAGCCTGAACTGTCGGATGAGCCTGAGACCAAGAAAGTGAAAACAGATGAAAAGCCTGTCTCAGATTCCAATGGCACCGTTATTGCTCCTTCTAACACAGAGAATGGAGCACAGAAGAAGGCTAGTCGGTCCAAGAAGGAGAAGATCAAGGACGCCGTGAACAAGGTTATTCCAGGAGATGGTATTGGTAGCCGGACTCGCAGCCGGACAAAGGGTGCTTGAATAGGCCGAGTCACTGTATTTGCAGGTTTGCCGTGTTACTTCCATGCCATCATATTTGCTCCACCCTTGAATTGTGTCTATTCCTGTCCGGGACTTCTCATGGCTGTGGCTGTACACGCGCTGCAATAAGAATAATATATTTTACTTGACCAAGTTGGGCGGGAAAGTTTTCAAGTTCAGGAAGCCTTGAACCACAAAATTCCAATCCCTTATATGCTTGATCTTGTACAGCGTTTTAAAAAAAGGACCTGTTTGTACACTAGGTAGTGAGTATGTTGTAGTAGGCATCTGCCATGTCCCATAACCTCTGATTGACATAACCCTATTCACTCCTTAACTACTCTGCGCTCTATCCCCATGTCAATATTATTTTTAGAGCACCAGTTAATGCTTTATCCTAACGCCCACGGCTCTTTCGGAGATTTGAGTTTCAGGTGGCCGATAATCGGGACTGAGTCATTCCTCGGAGCGGAATAACCATTGCCATCCCCGCTTATTACTGGAGGGGAAAGTCTGTGTCATTATTGGTGATAGAGCAATTAATATATGTTTGGTTTCTTTTTCCTTCTTCGTCATATTCTAATTCTCTACTTTCAAAATGGCTGGACAAAAGATTTGGCTGCGCGCTGAGACTAAGCCCGCTGAGGCACGGTCTGCCTGTGAGTAGCTTCAGCCCACAATGGCGGGGAAGCAATTGACTAATACATCATCTAGTGACCCCAACTACCTGCAAGGCATTGATCGATGCTGGATATGATGTGACTGTCGAGCGGTCAACTCAGCGCATCTTTGACGGTACGTGCCAATTTCCATATCACCCATACTCCCCATATCCCTTGCTGTTGGACTCAATGACTGATTCCGCTCTATAGATGAGGAATTCTCCAAGGTATAATCCACTCGGTAATACAACTCGAACCCGCTCTAAATATCATCAATTATTATAGATCGGTGCGCCTTTGGTCGAGGAGGGATCCTGGGTTCAGGATGCCCCTAAGGATGCCGTCATTCTGGGTCTCAAGGAGCTGCCAGAGGATGACTTCCCTCTGGAGCACGTCCACGTCACTTTCGCACACTGCTTCAAGCAGCAGGGCGGCTGGGAAAAGGTTCTCAGCCGTTGGCCTCGCGGCAAGGGCACATTGCTTGACCTCGAATTTTTGACTGATGATTCCGGGCGCCGAGTTGCTGGTAAGAGTCATGTCCCGAACTGTTATTTTTTGACTCAATAGACTAACTTTTTTTTTTTTTTTTTACTAGCCTTCGGATGGTCCGCCGGTTACGCAGGTATCTATACGTGAAGCTCGATATTTAGCACAATCGATACTAAGACGTGGAACAGGATCTGCTTTGGCTGTGAAGAACTGGGCTTGGCAATTGACACACCCCAACGAGACCTTGCCTGGTGAGGTCCCCTATGCCAACCAAGACCGTCTGGTCGAGTCTGTTAAGGAGTCACTCGAGGCTGGCAAGAAGGTCGCTGGAAAGGCACCTAAGATCCTTGTCATTGGAGCTGTGAGTCTTGTGCAGATCTACAGAAAGCGATATACATATTAACAATACTACAGCTCGGACGCTGTGGCAGCGGTGCCGTACAGCTGGCCAAGGATGTCGGTATTCCCGAGTCCAACATCATTGAGTGGGATATGGCAGAGACTGCGCGTGGTGAGTCAATTGCTATTTCGGGCCTCTTCAATCTAGCCCGAGTTCATAAATTAACATCCACAGGTGGTCCTTTCAAGGAAATCTCACACGAGGCGGATATCTTCGTGAATTGCATCTACCTCTCGGCTAAGATTCCAGGTAATTTTATACATGCATATTCTGGTCTCGACTCAATTGGCTGATATCCTTTTTTTGCATTAGCCTTCGTGAACGTGGAGTCTCTCTCTGCCCCTAACCGAACCCTGTCTGTTATCTGCGACGTCAGCGCCGACACGTGAGTTATCGGACATGAACCATGCTAGCGAGCGCACAGCTAATTCTCAAAAGCTCTAACCCTTTGAACCCTATTCCTTTATACGACATTACGACCACTTTTGATAAGCCCACAGTTCCCGTCTCCGGCCTGGAGGCTGGGGGCCTGCCTCTCAGCGTGATTAGCATCGATCACCTCCCATCTCTCCTTCCCCGTGAGAGCTCTGAGATGTTCAGTGAGGCTCTTCTGCCTAGTCTTCTCACGCTTAATGACCGGGCCAACTCTCGGGTCTGGAAGCAGGCTGAGCAGCTCTTTGATGAGAAGGTTGCTACCCTGCCTAAGTCGCTTCAGGCCTAAGCCTAGTGCGCTGGTAGGCAGGCGTCTTTATGGGGTACATTTGATAGAAATAGTTCCAGATACGAAATGCTACAAAACTGCAATGTCAGACACATGACGGATGATGAAGCTATTACGAATTGTTCCTTCCTTCTTTCTTTCTAGAACGGCCGTAGAAGCTCAGTGGTGTGTCTATCAGTGTACATGATATATGTACATACATACATGTCAAATTCAAACAGTGCTGTTCATAATACTTATCTAGGTGTTTTTGACCAATCATTCGCTTCATTCTCCAGTCAATCGCTCTTACATGGCGGAGATGACTCGTCTGAAAATTTATATTGCTTTTGAGAAGCCTAAGCCCATATTTCCGACACATGAATATTCTGACATTCATGACATTTCTGATATTTCAAAACTTATATTCCAATACATGGCTCACTTTACCCCAGACTACATGTAACCGCGGTCAACCTCATTATATGCGGGGATGTGTAAGACGGATATCCGGAGAATCCGTACCGTGGGGGTCTAACCCACTACAACAGGCTAAGAGGAATGCCTCATTGGATGAAATGAGAGTCTCACGCGAAAACGAAGACAGGAATGTGCTCATTTCCTTCACCTTGGAGTCGGGATGATCGCGGAGTTTGCCCCGTTTGTCTGTGGCTAACCTGATTTTGGGCTCCGGACGAAAATGCTCATTGTTTCTTTCTCCGCATAAATCGCATAACGCTCCACTCTCGCCCCTTCTCCCATCTTCCCCGAACTTATTCAATTCTGCATTCAAAATTGATCTTTTAGCCCTTCAACCTCGGAAGCCCCTGGCCCAACATTGGACTTCTCTTGTGATCAATTCTCTGACATCTCACGCCCTTACCTACATCCGGGCTAATCCGAGGATGGGGTAATGAGATTAAAGTCTGCCTGTTTCGACACCTACACGAACCGCCGAACCTGCCTTCCTATATACCACATTGCTTGATGCAAGAAAAGCCAACAACGGTCGCCGCCTATGCGGCCGGGGCCTCGCTCGCCGCCGTTGCTCTGTTCTACGTCTTTGGGCCGAACTACACAATCGACGGAGATGAGTCAAACGACAGCAATCGTAAGAAGAGCATCGTGGGTCTGTCCAACCTGGCCAATGACTGCTTTATCAATTCGGTGCTGCAGGCGTTAGCCGGGTTGGGAGATCTGCGAGTCTATCTGATCCACGAGCTGCACCGGCGCCAGCTGGACGGGCCGGAAATATACCATACACTACCGAGCGAGGACGAACTTTCGCCAGCCCGGTCGGACAAATTGCGGGAGTTGCAACAGGGGATAACCACACGGGCATTGAAGGAGATGCTGGACCGGTTAAATGAGCGGCCGATCTACAAGAAAACAATTTCAGCCCGTGATTTCATCCAGGCTCTAGAATACGCGTTTCGTACGCGCATCAGTCGCAATCAGCAGGACGCGCAGGAATTCCTACAGATTGTTCTCGAGCGACTCTGCGATGAGTACCATGCTGGTGCGCGCGCACGTCAACGAGCATTGGGTGCCATTGGCGCGGCTGCGTCCAGCACAGCTGGCGAAGAGGGCAGCGCACAAGAAAGCTCATCCGAGGTGGAGGTGCGCATCGATGATGGATCTGCCAATGGACTGCCTGCCATCATCGACACGAAACTCAAGGAAATCGACCAGGAGTCTGGATTCCCGTTCGAGGGGAAAATGGAATCGCAGATCGAGTGCCAGTTCTGCCATTATCAATATAAGCCAAACCAGACGGCTTTCGTCAACTTGACACTGCAGGTGCCGCAGAAGAGCTCGACCACACTCAACTCGTGCTTCGACGGCCTCCTCAAGACTGAATATATCGAGGATTTCCGTTGCGACCGATGCCGCCTGCAGCATGCTGTGGACGCGAAGACCACCGAGCTAGCCCGTGCCCGTTCACAAGGCGATCGAGATCGGTTGGAACAGGAGATTACCCGCCTCCGCGAGGCTCTCGAGACGGACCCCGAGGCTGATCTGGAAGGCATCGTATTCCCTGCGTCAGAGACCGCTCCCAAACGCAGGATTGCTCGACATATGCGCATCACAGCGTTCCCGAAGGTCATCGCCATCCACTTATCGCGGTCAATCTTTGATCAAAGCAGCTCCAGCAAGAACGCTGCCAAGGTGTCGTTCCCAGAGCGGCTCCCCTTGGGAAGCATCTTGAGCCAAAAATGGTACAAGCTGCTTGGGATTGTCTGCCATAAAGGTAGCCACCACAGCGGACACTACGAGTCATTCCGACGGAATCATATCTACCCTCCATTCTCGACCCCCGAGGTCTTCAGCTCCTATGCACAGAGTCGCACTGCCAGTCAGAACCCCTCCGCGACAGCCAGTCCTCGAATTATACCACGTAGCAGCCCCGATGCCGACGGCGGGGGGAACATCTCGAGAGCAGGCTCGTCGACCTCGCTCTCTGGAGCTTCAGCGACTCAACTCTCCCCTCCTCAACCACCTCCTCAACCACGGCCTACAACCTCTGGATCGCGTCATTCTTTCCAAAGCACCACCTCCCGCTCTTCCAAACAGACGTTATCCCCTACATCTGGTAACAACAGCCCGACGACAGACCAGGGTCGCTGGAGTCCGTCCCGGCCCTCCCACAGCATACCCCGCCCTTCCCAGGATGCCCCCACTGGGGTCAGTTCGCGACTTCGGCGTCGTCGCAAACCGAACGATCGGTGGTGGCGGATTTCGGACGAGAAGATCAAGGAATGTAAGACCTCGGACGTGCTGGGCATGCAAAGGGAGGTCTATCTCTTGTTCTACGAGTTGGAGAAGGCCGAAGCGAGTGGAGGTTGATAGCATCCTTTTCTTTTTCTTTTTTTTTTTTTTTTAGAGTCCAGTACATACAATATCCCCGTACTTTTTGTACAGATTGGGTTGAATCAAATTTAAAAGGTGATTTATTTAGAAAGTACCAAGGTATTCAATGGTCATAATAATTGAAATGGAGAAGGGAGAAGGGAGGAGTAACCTCCGATAAACGGCACCGGACATATGATGTCACTTGACTTTCTGCACTACCCCTCTCCTACACACATAACACATGTTAGTTACAATACAATGTAACTAACTACCTAGTTAACTATGTTGTATGTATGTTGTAGATCGTATGTAGTATATTATTCTATACTAAACATCTTCGGGGGATTAATTCAAGAAACCAATACTGAATATGAATACTAAAGTAATAAAAGTAATAAAGTAATAGAAAATGGAAATGTAGCGAATGGCCTCGAAGTCCTCGGCCCCGCCACGAACAAAATACGGATTCTTCGGGCACTTCCACGGTCTTGTTTTTTTTTTGGGATCTGAGTTATTCTAGTTATTATACAATATAGGTTGATGGCTATAGCTATCATAGCTGGTATTATTGGTTGTAATAGGATGCAACCTAGAAGCTCAATCTCATATATATATGTTGTAGATGTAAAAATAATACCTAGTTACCTACAACATAGGTAAGCTCTGAATAGCTCCAACAACATCGGGCTATCACGGGGAAGGTCGGGAAAGAGACCAAGACTGGCCATACATAAAAGAGATTATTAGTATATTAGGCATCTTCTCTCTCTCCCTCTCTCCCTCTTCTCTTGAAATCACACTGACCTCACTTCAGTTCCACTAAATCTCCACCACCGGTGAGTCTACCTTGTCTCTCCTTCGATGACGCTTGCCCCTCCTCGACCATTTTTGCCCCTCCTCCTTATTTAACTCTGCCCGCTTTCAGCTCCCGGTAAAGGAGCTTGGTTTCACTACATTTAACTACTTTACCATTGGATCTGACCCTTTCTTTTTCTTCTTTCTCTTTAGATTTCTACAAAACCAAAAATCTTTGTACAAACTTCATAATGGGTGTCCTTGAGCAACTTAGCCGCAAGTCCGGCGTCATTGTCGGCGACGATGTCCTCCGTCTCTTCGAGTACGCCAAGCAGAATGCCTTTGCCATCCCTGCCATTGTGAGTTCTCATGTCAATCCAATCGTTTACAATTGGAATCTTTATACTAATCACCAACCCCCACTAGAACGTCACCTCCTCTTCCACTGTTGTCTCTTCCCTCGAGGCTGCTCGTGACCAGAAGTGCCCCGTTATCCTGCAGGTCTCCCAGGGTGGTGCCGCTTTCTTCGCTGGTAAGGGTGTGAGCAACGAGGGCCAGAAGGCCTCCATTGCTGGTGCCGTCGCTGCTGCCCACTACATCCGTAGCGTGGCCACTGCCTACGACATCCCCGTCATCCTTCACACCGATCACTGCGCCAAGAAGCTCCTTCCTTGGCTCGATGGTATGCTCGATGCCGATGAGGCTTACTTCAAGCTGCACAACGAGCCCCTCTTCTCTTCCCACATGATTGATCTGTCCGAGGAGCCCGTCGACTACAACATCAACACCACCGCCGCCTACCTTAAGCGCGCTGCCCCCATGAAGCAGTGGCTCGAGATGGTATGTCAAACCAAAAAAGCAAAACAAAAAGCAAAAATTGATACACTGCTAACCACTTCTATAGGAGATCGGTATCACCGGTGGTGAGGAGGACGGTGTCAACAACGAGGATGTTGACAACAACTCCCTCTACACCCAGCCCGAGGACATCCTGGCCATCCAGAACACCCTCGCCGCCATCAGCCCCTACTTCTCCATTGCCGCTGGCTTCGGTAACGTCCACGGTGTCTACAAGCCCGGCAACGTCAAGCTCCACCCCGAGCTCCTCTCCAAGCACCAGAAGTACGTCCAGGAGAAGACCGGTTCTTCCTCCGACAAGCCCGTCTTCTTCGTCTTCCACGGTGGTTCCGGCTCTTCCAAGGAGGAGTTCAAGGAGGCCATCAGCTACGGTGTCGTCAAGGTCAACGTCGACACTGACATGCAGTTCGCCTACCTGGCCGGTGTCCGTGACTTCGTCCTCAACAAGAAGGACTACCTCATGACCCAGGTCGGTAACCCCGACGGTGCTGATAAGCCCAACAAGAAGGCTTTCGATCCCCGCGTCTGGGTTCGCGAGGGTGAGAAGACCATGAGCGTGCGTGTCAAGGAGGCCCTTGCGGACTTCAACACTGCTGGTCAGCTGTAAATGTTGACGTCTATGTGATGTCGCATCTTTGATTCCCTTTTTTAACCCCCTTTTGATTACCCTCATATCCTCTCTTCATGCAGCTGAAAAAGCGTTGGGCGTGCCTGGGGGATGTGGGCGTCCCGGTTGTATGTAGCGTTGTATTCTGACACGCTGTAATGAATGTCCATATCACGGTCCTTATGACCGCTCCTCTGGAATATGAACTGTAACGTTCTGTTTGATAATTGTGTTCCGTCAATCTTCGTAGTTATTATAACTAGACCGCATCGTATTTCTTCTTTCTTACCGAGATGTGGCTCTATACTTCGATCTATCCACTACCAACCCGCCCTCGAATTACATATGTAGGCCTATGTAGGTTGTTGCACTATAGATTCTGTTATAATATAATGAATGTACTTGTTGATATTCTCTAGTCTCCTAGCTCTTCCCTGATCATCTAGGACATGAAGTAGTTCACTCGATCGGCAAACTATTGGGCTTCTCCCGTCTCATCTCTCTTAGTTCTTTCTTAGAATTCTATAAAAGCCCGTCCCATTGATCATTATTCGACCTCCATCGACCTCCATCTCGATTCCGTAACCAAAAATATCAAAGTGAACCCATACCTCATAAAAGAGAAACTACACACCACCACCGCAAACCGCCATGTCCTCTACTCGATTATCCCACATTCCACAACAGGTACATACAACAAAACCCAAGCCTATCCCTCTACCTCTCTACCAACAAACCTAATACTTACTTACCACAACAGGTCCTTAACCTCTGCAACGATCTACAAGAACTAGTCTTCATCAAGGTTGCAATTGGAATCCACGACCGAACTATGCTGACAATTAACAACACGACCACAACACCGGCACAGTTAAATCTCCACCGTGGATCCTGGCTGCACGCCAAGTCGAAAGTGGCATCCTTGCACCGGAGCATCGTGGCGGATTTCAATCGCCTGCCGCGTCATATGAAACGCACATTCGTGAGGATGAACCAGTCGACTCTGTGCGAGCATGGCTTTCGACCTTCTGATGATTGCTTGGAGATTACTCGTCCTGGTAGTAGAAGGGTTGTTTTTGTGCTTTGAATTTGAAATGGGAGGTTGGGTACGTAGTCGTATGTCGTTAGATATTTGATATGGAGGGAATTGGCTTTGTGGATTGTTGCTTGGCTTGTTCTGCTACAGACCTCGGCGGGTTGTGGTTTGACTCCATCTTTCTGAGGAGGGAAGTGATGGGTGTCTCCTTATCCATGTCTCCTTGATTCTTGTTGCGACTCTCGAATGCTTGTACCGCTAATGGAAGGCTCGAAGATTCATATGAATACCAAATCGATTCTCAAATTAAGATTTCACTAACAAATCGCAGCGATTTTTGTAATGATTGTAAAGATTATTTTGGCTCACCATATCACCTAGGAATGGGGGGAGTGGATCAGGATCCTGTACAAGTTATCTATGCGAGAAGTGCAATATAGCTGGCAAGGAAACTGACCGGTAGATCGATGGTTGATAGCCATGTTTCTGCTGTAGTGAGGTTAACCGACATTCAATGCTGTCAAGATCCTCGAGCAGGAATAGGCTGATTGAACCGAGAAGATAATTCACTAGGTAAGACTAACATCTTCTTCTAACATAGCAGACACACGAAGGGGAAATGGATAAAACTCCCAATTGATGTCACACCGAAGCAACACAAGTTCCACCAGGAAGGATATAAACCACAGCGGCGATGATCAAATCTCGCAATGATGAGTTTACAAGAGTAACATAACAGCATTTCAGTCGTAAGCGGGGTGACTCTCGAATAACGACGACTTAATCTATAATCCAAGATTCCATACATGCAGACACGATATAGCAGCCGATTCCCGAACAAGAGCACAGCAACACTATCAACAAGCATGCTTGCGAGTCCACTCCCGCGCAACCTCCTCGTAGCGCACCCGGTCGTTTTTATACTGCTCTGCGATCCGTCCTTCAACGGCGTCGTCGGGCATCGGCTCAGATAGTAGCTGTCGGGCGAACTCAAGGACTGCGGCGATCTTCGAACTGGGTTTCCATTCGTCGGCTCGCAGCATCCCTAGACACATGCTTCCTTTTTCGTCGTTTGTTACGTTCGGGTGGTAGATTTTCGTTGCGAAGGAGACTGTCGGTGGCTTGAAGGGGTATTCCGTGGGTAGGGAGAGCTTGACTAGGAACTTGCCATTCTATATTGTTTTACCAAGGGGTTAAAAAGGATGTTTCTTGGACTTGAACTGTGACGTTCGAGCGTGGGGACTCCTGTTGGGGATCTTGGTGGGAGACGATGAAGGTAACGGGGTGTTATATGTGTTATCCTTTTGACATACGTGATATGGTGAGCCTTCAGGTCCCTCCATAGTGATCTTCCACTCGTACACGTTCGACTCATCGGCTAGTTCAACCGTGATCCCTTCCGGAGGGGATTCGGTGAGCTCAGTCAGCTCCTATAGTTAAAATAGATAGTCAGTACACAGACAGATAATAAGGTTCATGTGAAATTATAGGCACTTACCTTGGATATACGCTTGATGCTGCCCATTGTGGTGGTCAGTTGTGGATTTGGCGGGGCGATAAGAAGAGCGGGGGGGTTGAGGAAGGATGCAGGCAGGCGCGTAAGTGCAAGACGCGGTCTTGAAGAGATCGAAGCAACGAATGAATAGAGATTTATTGAGCAATATGGAAAAGACGTTAAGTGCGAAAAATGCCAGAAGAACAAAGGGGGCTGTTTCGGCGAAGCTAGAAGCTCCGAGTGGGGTGCGCGGCAAAAGACGTCAGTGGAGAAGTTTGATATGTCCGCCGGTCTATCGATGTACATCATGACAATGAACACTATCATTGGTTATTTCAGTATATGTATGTATACGTATCCATTGATGCTCCTTACGGTAATATTTAATGCATTTGGTCCTTTTCCTTCCATTACCCAATGTATATTTTGCCAATTACTCTCTCTGAATCATCACCATCAGTCCCATAAGTCCAAGCATCACTGTCTTGAGCCAGGGGTGCTCGCTGAGCATGATAGTAACGTATCCAACCATGGGGATGTAGCCACGAACACTGCCAACAATATCCTCCGCCCGGTCGAGATAATCCTGGTCTAACCTTGTCAGTAACCTTCGGAAGTGGCCTCACTTCAACTTTTTCGTATCGCTTACCTTGAGCGTACAGCTCGGTATCGTCCCCCGAATTGTTGTCACCCTAGCAAGCTGTTAGAAATTGCCTAGGCCAGTCAAGTTGTTAGGCCACCTACCTTGGTGAGGAGCATATTCGTGTTAGGCGTTGTGTCCCTTGAACTTCGTTAGCACAAAATCAGTCACAAGCAAAATTGCCGGGTAATAGGCGAGGACATACACTGTGATTTCTTTCACCTTCTTTGCGCTCATACGTCCTTCTACCTCGGGGAAGGTGCGAACAACCCTGTGGACAATCGGGATAGACTTTCCCCGAACATTATAAACGAGAACTTCTCCGATCTCCGCCCTCGTGTCTCGGTTCCAGAGAAAGAGCAGGTCACCACGTTGAAATGCGGGCTCCATTGATCCTGTGGAGAGGGGATGTGAGCTGTGTTCAGACCGCCGTGAAGGAGCTTTGTTTACCGGATAGGACCACAACTATTGGAGAGCTTGATGCGGACACGACCGAGAGGCCTTTCCATAGCATAAAAGCCGTGGAAAGAACCAGCGCAAAATTCAGCACTTGTGCAATTGATTGCCGAGCATTTGTGATGCTGGAGGAGAGGGAGGATAGCATGGTGGGCGGTTCGCGATCAACGGATAGACGGGAGGGTTGGGGTAGGTTGCTCTAATAGTGACTGTTCTTGGTCAGGAATACTTCTGATGGGGTTTTTTTTGATCTTCGGAATGGTAGATGAAGACGATACCTATTATGTTCAGCTAACTTGGCTGGTTAAGTTGTGTTTTGATAGAGCTAGACGGTGCGGAGAGGTGGCCTCGTCGGAGATCGCCTTGGCGCAGATCCACACTGGCTTTCCGCCTTGCAGGTATAACCACCCTCCTCTCTAACTAACTAGTTATATTGTAGTTAGCACCACATTGTGAGTTCATGCATCGGTTTTCAGCTTGCTAGAAATGGAGACCTTCTCTAATTAAGTATATTAGAGGAGCTACTTGCTATACCTGGTAATATGTCCGAATACCCTTGGACTCCCTTCGGTTGCAACGAAGAGCTTATTGGATTTGGGTCTTCTACACGTGTGGGAGAACATGCGCTACCCTGTAGAGAGATGTGCTTAGATATACACTGAAAAGCTTGTTGGTAACTTCAAAGTTAATACTTTGCTGAGATGTTACAATTTCCTACCAAAAGCCCCATAGGCTATAGCTATTGGCTTGCTTAGTGTGGACACTACTATATAGTACTCTATATCCGTTTCAGTGTATATCCATGTGTATACAGCTTGACTTCCTTGCTCACTACAATATAGTGTTTCTTATGTCAGAATAAGCAAAGGCATACAAAACAATAGGCTCTAGCAGGCTATAACTACAAGGGCGGGACATGTTCCGTCTCCCCGGATGTCCCTGGACATCATTGATCAAGGCTTGTTCCTTCTTCTGAATCACGGTCATAGCTCGCTTGTTATTCATAGGTGAACGGCAATAGTTACATAACCTGACATCATAAGCAGGTCTTTGTTTTACTCTTTAATCTGTCTATTTCAAGGGTTTCAACTTTAAGGCGCGCGGAGAAATCATCATGAGGAATGTTGAAAATAGCTATCCCTGGAAATTAAGTCACTAGACTATGTCTCATGGCTAAAATTGTGGTCATTCCCCGCCCTATATAACATCCAATTAGAAATATAGTAGTGCTGTTCGGGATACTTGATTTCAAAACATGAAGCTTGACTTACTACCTACCATGCTTCAGCTAACTCAACCTATCCGCGGATGAATTTGGTAGATTATAGGCCAAATCTCCGAGGTAATTTTAAGTGGCCGACGCGTGTGTATTTATCGGACTGAGCTCCAAAAGCTCAACTGTGTAGATCACAAGGGGTGGTGCCCATTCCTCAGGGCAAGGTTTACATAAAAATGTCCGGGCATTTTCGAAGATGATATAAGCTCCAATGCCACCCCAGAGATCAGTTTCATGCAAGACCAATGTATTGCGGATAGTGGGAACTCAGTCAAACATCCTTTATAACTATTTCTATATGATTCGTTCACCGGTTGCCCAATATGCAGTCTACATCCTCAGAATTGACCTTACCGACAGGCCGCACAGGCGAGCCCGAAACTTCAGCCATTGAGCTCCTGCATGACCATTTTCTTGCGCTTACTCCAGATGGGAAATACGTGCGATGGTTGCGAGATCACCCAAGGCATCCCCGAAATTGGTCTACCATACGAAAGACCTACGATATTGCCCTTGTCTGTCTCTTGGATCTTTTTATGTGTGTCCAGACTAAATCCAACGTTGTTTGGTCAGTAGGCTAACAATACTTGCAGAACAGCATCTAGCACAGCAGGTGTGAGTGTATACAGCTACTCATGACCTACAATATTGCTGACCTAACACTCCGGTCCTTTCTAGTCTGCTGCTGCTGCGCAAGCCAAACATGAGTACAACATCAGCGAAACGCTATCTATATTCCTATTTGTCACATTGTGAGAATTGGCTGGTCTCGATCTATGTTACATGTCTGATATTGAACAGATTTCTTCTCGGTCAGGTGGCAGGTACCATCTTATTTCCACCGTGGTCGGAGACATTTGGACGAAAGAACATGTACATTGTGAGTAGTGGGCTCAGCGCCATTTGCTGTATAATCATCGGTCTTGTGCATTCAATGCCGGTTATTATAATCATGCGCATCGTTGCCGGGTTTCTCTCCGCGATCCCTTTTACCATAATCGGCGGCAGCATCGAGGACATGTTCAACTCGCATGCCCGAATTTGGACCATGTATTATTGGACAGTTGCTTCGAACGTTGGTCTAATTCTTGGACCCATCATGAGCAGCTATATTATTGCAGGTCTTGATTGGTATGTGTAAGCCTCAACTATGGTCTATGTAAATTTCTCACAATTTCCAGGCGATGGAACTTCTACATCTTCGCCATCATTATTGCTGCAATTACAGGTGGCCTTTTCTTCATTCGAGAATCCCGGCCCTCTGTGTTGCTTGCCTACGAGGTGCAACGGCTCACCGATATGACTACCATACATTCAATTCCACCACCACTCAACCACGACCATATCCTTGATCTCAACACATTTGTAAAAGAAGGCCTCTTTCGCCCAGTCCAACTCTTCTTCCAAGAGCCCATCATTTTCGTCGTCGCAATAATGATCTCCACCGCCATGTCCCTCATCTACATCTTTACGGAAGCCCTCCAACCCATCTACGAGTCAATGGGACTTGCAAAAACCGAGGCTTCACTGATGTTCATCGCCATCGGCCTGGGAACCTGTCTCAGCGCATTGACTCGGGTGCTAGACAGCTACATTCTCAACTATTTCCGCAGACAGGGACGCCCTATCAAGCCAGAATACAAGCTCATTGGACTAGGCCTTGGTGGTCCGTTCCTAGCGATTGGTCTATGGTGGTTTGCCTGGACTATTCCACCCGAGACCCAAACTCCGTGGATTGTGCCCACAATTTCCCTCGTTCTGGTGGGCTATGCGCTAACGGAAATGGATACCGTGCTGTATGGGTATGTCTCCGATGCTTATCTGAGTTACTCGGCCAGTGCCACCGCTGCTATTGCATTCGTGCGAGCGTTGTTGTCGGGTACCTTTCCACTGTTTACGAGGCAAATGTTTGATCGGTTAGGAAATAATGTTGCTATGTCTGTGCTTGCTTCTGTGGCAACTGCGTTTTGTATAGTACCGCCTGTGTTTATCTGCTATGGGGAGCGGATCCGTCGGGCGAGCAAGTTTGCTCAGTATAGTTGGAAAATTCAGGAAGAGCAGGGCAAAGAAAAAGAGGAATGGTGAGCTATGGTTTGTTTGATATGCGATTTTCAACTGAATTATATTCTACAAAGTGTATGAGATCCAAATTATACGAGGATGATATAAACAAAAGGTAAGAACACGAGTAACAATCTGAACATCAAAGAAAAAAAAAGAGATATACCCACACCAAATGCGTTCATACCCCTTGAGTGATTCTAGTAGTGGTTTCCTCGCTCCGAGTCGGACTTGCTTCCCAATACTTCTCTTTCTTGCCTCGGCTAACGATCAGTCCGTAGATATCAAATGGATCGACAAGAGTCTGGATCCAACGACGGGAATCATCATAGCCAGGGCCCTCAATTTCCGTAACACCATCTTCAGCGAGATAAATCTTGTTTGATCGCGGAAGCCAGTGCATTGGGTGAAAGACATTCAGCAAAGTGGTATTGCTGTACATGAACGCAACCTCAAAGAACCAGAAGAACCATTCCTGTTTCAATACAGGGCTGATATTCTCTAGGTCGGCGTAAGCATTCAGACTCGCTGCAGTAAAGTATTCCACGGTGCGATAGATGGTACGGATCGTTATGAAGGTACAGCTGCAGTATAGCACCAGTAGGGCATTCTTGATCTTGCGGTTCAATACGCCTCCTCGGGAGCAGTTGAAGTGGAATCGGCCGGCCAAAGTCACAAAGCCTATCATGAGAGCGATCTGCATGATAAGCGCCGCCTTTAGCATTGCCTTGCCGGTGTTTTGCGAGTTACCACTAGTGTTTGCGATTCGGGCCGCTCCATTGGCGGTAATGATCTCAATGGCCAGACCCAAGGCGACAAAGGTCGTAGCTACGCGGCCAGGGTGGATGGGGGAGTGGTACGGGATGTAGTAGAGTATACGACCCAAAATGAAGAAGTTGGCACCCTCATATACTGGTCTAGAATAATCGAAGATCGGTTGTCAGTAGCGTATCTCGGGATGGGGTGGATATTCCTTACGGTCCGACGAGGAGAAGCACGGTGCTTGCGATATAGATGGGTATATTTCCCCACTGCCCAAACGCTCCAATAGTTCGCATGATAAAACCTGCCGTGAACAGAATGGCAGACCATGGAAGAAGGCCGGTAACTTTCCAGGAATTATATTTGCTGGGATATCTGGTTAATATGAGGGTTCATGGTTGGACGGGTTCACATACAAGCATTGATATCCATGGAGGGCGCCAGATATAGCGAAGAGAATCGCAAATGCAATTGCAGCGCCTTTGTTTGGCGCATAAAACCACAAGCTTCCCTCCTCTTTGTTTTATCAGATAAACTATCGATCACGATTGAGTTAGTAGACGACTTACGATATGATGACCTTGCCTCAAGCATGGTTGTTGTAGATCCACCAAATATATATTTCTTGGTGCGAGGAATCAAGTTTATATAAAAACACTGTGTAGTTGATGTGATGGCCGGTTGGATAGTATGAGTATTTTGCTTAAATTAGTTGAGTAGACTAGCGGACTTTAGAGAGATATATATATATACAAAATCGGTGTGGTGCTCTTCGTGTAAAACTAGTTCGACGCCCTAGTATCTTATGACCTAGATAGTGTTCACTTTGGGTAATTTCGTATTTCCCTCTAACTTCCAACGCCCCATGGTCTCTCTATTTTGACTACATGGTTCCTCGATTTGCTTGGATCCACAAATAATAGTGATAGTGGATCGAGGCTAAGGTCTAACCCGACCTCGTATTTACCTGCGCCCTCTGCTGACCCGCTCCTAATACAACCTTAGGGATCTCACTGCCACAGATCCTTGACTTGTCATTCGCCAACCTTCTTAACACGCTAATCCAACCTGAGTAACTCGTTTTCGCTTCCAAGGTTGTTTTAAGTGGATGGGCCATTCCTTTCGGCATACGCACATACATACAAGTCGTGGACGGGGTGTGAAGAACTCGTGGCGAATGGTGGACAGCGCCTTTATTTCCCTTTCTTCTAATACAAGGACATAACTCGCGGGAAAGATCGAGGAACAAATAACTGATCCCCATAGAATCCACTTGGAGAAAAGATCGTGTCTTCGAGGTCGTATGATACTGAGAAGTCAGCACCAACCTATGTATGTATAATTGGTTGTAGCCCTACCTAGGTATAGAATAGTATAGATAATATAGTAAGCATTAACCTACAGATGCACACCCATTCGCTCTTTCCTCATACATCACTACTTAGTACTGGGGTAGTTATATAGTTGCACGTGATGTGATTGTTGTCAGGGTAACCGGCATCCCAAAGCGGTAAGCGCATTGTTGATCTGTGGATGTTCTGGACTTTCCAAGTTTGACCACTCGGCGTCTTCCCCCACAACTTCAAAGGTTCAACGTCGCCGTCATCGTGTTGTCTAGATATCCAAAATGCCGCCCAAACAGCCCCAAACATCGCTGTTTCAAGTTTATCTCCGGTTACGGCCCCCGATGACCCAAAAGCACAGTGAATCGGACCGTTTTTTGAATGTTGAGCCACCAGAGGCTTCGCAGGAGGAAACAGAGATCGTCCCGCCGGGATCAACACATATTACTCTTCAACCACCAAATGATACGAGAAAGCGCGCCATCGAGAGGTTTGGTTTCACAAAGGTCTTCGAGGAGGCTGCCTCGCAACTAGATGTCTTTCATGACACTGGAATGGAGCCCATCATACGCGGAGTGCTGAAGGAGAACCGAGATGGACTAGTCGCTACCCTGGGAGTCACAGGCAGCGGAAAGGTCTGGTCCCGAATACTGTAGTACGGTGATAACCAAGCTAATAGGCTGCGTATGCAGAGCCACACTATTTTAGGATCCAAGACTGAACGAGGAATGACCCAAATGGCACTTGACGTTATCTTCCGCTCCCTAGAGTCCGCAAACAAGACCGAGGATGGTAGCATTACCCCCGTAATGCTTGCTTCGCTGGCTGCCGCAGACGCTTCTGAAGCCCAATTGTTCTCCGCACAGACATTTTTGGAAGCCGTATATGGCGAGCCAACTGGGCGTACGTCGAGAGCGCAAACACCCATGAGTCCATCTCGTGCCAATACTCCTTTGATGGTACGAAGCCCCTCTATCTTGAACTCCCCCATGGATCCCCAATCCGGCGACCGCGCACCCCTGGATCGCTCCTCCCAAGGCCGATATCTCAACCCGGAAGCCCCCGTAAGGCGGATTTGTCTTCTGTGTCCAGTCCTAATGACGCAGCTCGAGCTGGCTTTGACCATGTCTCGGCTGAGCCCTGTGGATGGATCACCCCGGGATTTTCTAATCCCATCCCTTACACCCACTCCAATCTATTTGAGCCCAAATCAGCTAAATCTCGACTTTATGTCTTTAAGGAACCCACTCCTGCCTTGAACTTCCCCCGCCGTCACATACGTGAACGACCCTGCGCCCTTCCTAGACTGCCCGATATGAGCCACCTTACTGTGGACATGGATTCAAATGCCGACTATGTCGTTCTGGTGTCAATGTATGAGGTATACAATGACCGAATTTTCGATCTTCTGTCACCCTCTATCGTCTCAGGTCAAGGCACAATGTCCCGTGGGAATAATCAGAAGGATCGACGACGTCCCTTGCTCTTCAAGCCTACCGAGGGCTCACCAGATCGAAAACTGGTTGCCGGCCTACGCAAAATTGCTTGTAGTAGCTATGAGGAAGCATTGGCCATTCTGGACGTTGGATTAACCGAACGCAAGGTAACTGGTACTGGACTGAATAGCGTTAGCTCTCGAAGCCATGGCTTCTTTTCCCTGGAAGTGAAGAAGCGGACATACTCCAAGCGAACTGGTGAACACAACTGGGCTGGAAACACCCTCACTGTTGTGGATCTTGCTGGTAAGTAAGTTACGTCCTTGATGTATGGCAGCTACTAATTATCTAGGCTCCGAGCGCGCGAGAACGGCAAAGACGGCCGGTGCCACACTCGCCGAGGCTGGTAAAATCAACGAAAGCTTGATGTATCTCGGCCAATGCCTGCAGATGCAAAGCAACATACAGGATGGAATGAAGGTGTGTTTTCTACTCATCGTCGATGTACTTCTCTTGGCAGCTGCTAACCTACAAAGACTGCTCTGGTTCCTTATCGGCAGTGCAAATTGACCGAGCTTCTGTTTTCAAATTCATTCCCATCCTCTCATCAGATGTCCAGAGGCCAATATCCCCAAAAGGGTATCATGATCGTCACCGCTGACCCTGTGGGTGATTTCAACGCCACCTCCCAAATTTTGCGTTACTCCGCATTAGCCCGTGAGGTTACCGTTCCTAGAGTTCCCTCGGTCTGTGGATCTATCTTGTCTGTCGCTTCTGGTAGTCACCGCTCAGTCAGTGGCTGCACTTCGCCAAATTTTGAGTCAAATGGAGAGCCCGAGAGAGCTACTGCTGAGATCACACGCCTCACACACGATTGTCACGGCCTTGCTCTCAAGCTAGCCGAAGAAGAGATTGCACGGGCTGATGTCGAAATGAGATTGAGGGCTGCTGAAGAAAGATGCCTCATGATCGAGCAAGATGTGCGAGAAGAATGTTGGGCAGAGATGGATGAGAAAACGGAAGAAGAAAGGCGACGCTGGCAGAGGGCATGGGATGAGCAGGTTTGTAATTCCAGACCAGCTCAAAATTCGTCACACGCTAATGATTCCTAGATCGGTCGCAATGATGAGCACATCGACAAGAAGGTTGAGCTTGTATCCCGTGGATTCCAAAGTAAGTTGGCCCATGAGGAGCGAAATATAGGAACTCTTGAGCTGACCTCTATCTCCAGTCTTTGAAGATTCGGGGTCGAATGAACGAGTGGAAGAGCTCGAGCAAGAAAATGACCAGCTCCGCCGCAAACTCGCTGCTCTTGAGCGTGAGATGCACAACCAATCCCCGACAAGAAAGCATAGAACAAAGAATGCCACGCCCGCGCGGTCTAATCATCTCGGCCGCGAGAGCGATATTGAGAACGCGTTGCAACGCATGGATCAATTGAAGCTCGCGGATACCATGTTTGCTCCTCCATCGCCAGGAGCCTCGCCTATCAAGAAGACGAGGAAGATGGGAACCCGGAAATGGGACCTCGCCCCAGAGGACCAGATCTAAGCGGTTTTGTTTCCTCCACTACTCCATCATGACTGTTACGACATACTTTTCTTCCGCTGCTTGAGATACTAGATCTTTTAATACTTGGGTTTACCTTTTTTTTTTTGGTTAATATGGAATGATATCCCTTGGCTAAGGCGTTCGGGGCCAATCAATACTTTGTTTAATAACTGTTGATATTTTATTTCCAATTGGCAATGCCGGAATTGGATTTTGCGAATACATATTGTACATGCTAGCTCGTAAGCCATTCAAGCCACCTGTCTCTCAACGCCATCCCGTAGTTTAGAAAGATCCTGTTTTGGAAGAACACCCCATGTGCTCCATAAACTGAAAAGAAAAAAAGAAAGCAAACCCCCTCTTTGGATGTATAGCGGATTCCCCAGGACTCAAGAGGACGTAATCTCCATGGCATCTCGCTTGTCAGCGACATGCTCAGTCTCAGTATCATTTGGAGACTGGTCGGCAGTGGGAATGTCCTTCTCCTCTTTGTCTTCTTCCTCCAACTTTGTTTCCTCATCATGCATCTCCTCATCGTCATCTCCCTCGCCCTCAGTCCCCCCATGATCACCATCACCCTCCCCTTCTTCGCCTTCATTCTCATGACCGCCCTCATCATCCTCACCATCATCCGCACCTTCATCCCCAGTCCCCCCTCCTCTGCATCAGTAACATGAGGGAAAAGCGCCGAGGTCCCCTCGTCACCAAGCTTCGTGTCCTCGTTCTCGCTCAGCTCAGTCTCGTCAGCAGTATCATGCTCATCTCTCTGCTCAGCCGAGCCATCACCAGTGGCAGGAACCTGCTTGCCTGAACCACGAGGTGCAGAACTCGTCCCCGCAGTAGTAGACCCAACGCCCTGCGGAGTCGCAGGTGGCTCCGCCTCGCCCGCGGCGGTGATTTTACTCGTCACAGCCCGAGGAGCCAGCTTCGTGTTCACGATTGTGTCCGCGCGTTTCTGGATGTCGCGGCGGGCGATGCCCTTTGTTCGGCCGCGGGGTGCTGGGATATCAGATGCTGGGACAGCTGTTGGAGGGGTTGAGGCCTCAGGAGGGACTTCACCAGCCATGAGGTTGTCGACTTTCATTTTTTCTTTATTTTCTTCGGTTGCTTGTTCGACCAGGTGGGGTGTGTTGATATCGTAGAGTTGGGCGTACAGGTCGGCGATCAGGTCTTCAAACATGGTGATTTTCATGAGGTTGTTGTTGAGCTTTTTTCACCTCCAGGGCATCTCGAAGTAGTTCTAGGATGACCTGGCTCTCTGGTCCTAGGTGAGGTAGGCTTTCTAAGCGAGCTGTCTTGGTAGAGAACTCTTCCCACCCGATTGGTTTGAATACGCTTTCCTCATGACCCTCGCTGATCTTGGCTGCACGGCGGATCATCTTTGCATAAGTTAGGCAAATATCTTCCCACAACTTGGTGTGGTTGAAGAAATCGCCTTGCTTCTTTCTCACACGGCGCAAAAGTTGATCTAAGCTTGCGCGATCGTCGAGTTGGTCAAGCAGGCCAACAAAGAAGTACACGTAGCGGGTCGTGTAAACGAAATGTCGACCGGGGCGTTCAAATTCTGGCCGCCAGACTTGGATCGTAAGTGTTTTGGTGAATATTTGGGAAAGTTCCTGCTTGGCAGCAATCGCAGCGGCTGCGTTTTGCTGGCCATCGTAAATGATATGCGCAGCCTAGGGGTTGTAAGCAATATGAACAAAAAGAAAATCAAGCTGCGGCTTATATACCTTTACACCCATGCGATGATGCCAGTTGGACTTGTCAGCGCTCTTGTACTTCCGAAGGACTTCGAGTATGTATTGGTTCCATCCCTCCATATTCTCAGGAGGCTCGATCTTACGGGCCCACGGAGTTGCAAGGAGGGTCTTGCTTCCTTCGGTAGTCTGACGTTGTTATCAGCAGGAGTTCTTCATATCAGAAGCAATAAAACTTACCGTCATATGTCCTTGAAGAACAAGTTTGTGTACAAAAGAGAAGAGTTTAAAATGTGGTTCAAATATCGGATCAGAGCGTGAGTCTCTTCGCTGCGGAAGTGCAGCAATAGCATCAAGAACAGCATTTATCACCTCTTGCATTTCGACTTTTTTGGAAGTCGTTCTCAAAGAATCATCACTGGTAAACATTTTCCAAAGACACTTGCCAAGCGTGTAGTGAGTCCTATTAATGTGTTAGTACTATTTCAAATGTTCCAATTCTGCCAAGTCCCATTGGAACTACTTACATCCATCGCTTAGACTTGTCGACAGCTGCCCGTTTGAGAAGGTTGCTGGCAAAATTCCATGTTGAGTAAGCCGACATCTCCTTAAAAGGCGTTCCCTTGTACATTTGCTGGCTCTCCTCGCTGCTGAAATGACGGGGGAAGTCCGCAACACTGAAGGCTCCCATGGATAGCGGCTCGCGAGAGGATGAGTACAGGCGGATACCAAAGTCTGAATAAAGATCTGACATCACATCTCTGGTCTCTGCCGTTGGCTCTGCAGTCCTCATTGCTGTTGAAACAGCCATGGCATAGCAATGAATAGCATTTCGCTGCAGTGCTGCCAAATCCGACCGGTTGTTATTGATCTTATCAGCTGTCCATGTAATGTCTTCATCAAGCTTTGAGTCATAGGTTTGGGCGAGCCTATACCAGCTTTCCCATCTCCCTGTTCCATGATCCAAGTCTTGCCTAAAGAACCCGATGGCGTCATCAAGCTCGCTTGTTGAACCAGGGCTGAGACGCTTCTGGGAACGGAACTTGGTGAGTGCGGCATGGCCGAGAAGGAAAAACCACCCCTTCGAAGCGATCTTCGCATTCTCAGTCGGAACTATGGTTGTCGAAAGCTCTGTAATGCCCTGAACAGCACGGAGTAAATTAGATGGGTTGAGTGGGGCTTTGAGATATGCATTCACAAGGCGACGGTTGAAAGTCAACTGAGGTGTTTGTGAAGAAGCCTTAGCGGGGCCAATGGCTTGCTGCATCTTCTCAATCGTAGTCTTCAACTCGGACCTGGATAAGTCCTTCATATTCATCTTGTTCGCCTGTTGCAGAACAAAGTCGATCATCATGATGGCTGTAGGGCGATCCAATTTCTCGGGAGGACATCCATGATCCACAGTCCCATCGAATGCAGAAAATTTGATACCGTGGAGATCGAGAAGTAATTGACACACATCAAATTCATAATCGCCCTTGGTTTCCAGCCCAAAGAACTCCGCTTTCAGAAGCTTCAAGAACTTCTTTTGCGAATATCTGCACATCGATCGAACGCCCAATGCATTATGGACGGAACGAAGGAAATGAATGCGGTCTTCAAACGGATCATCGAAAAGCTCCTTGTTCTGGGCAATCGCTTCCATGAAGAGGGTGTACTGTAAGATCCAACAGCGAACATATAGCTCTCGCATTCTTTCTTTCATGTTTTCTAGCGATTTCGCCAACGAGCCTCGGAAGTCGCGACCAGAAATCTGGCCTACTCGCACTGAGTCCTCATAAAGGATAAAGCTGTGCAAAAGCCTCACAAGGCGGGCTATAGCAGACATTGAGGTGTGTAAATGCTCCATGTCAAAACAGTCAAATGTTTGTTCCGGCTCTTCAAGAATGAGCAGTAATGCTTTGGCCACAATGCCATCGAGGGTTTTGAGCCAGCCCAACAGAGCTACTTGACGATGTTGGCTTGTTTCTTCGTTGTGTTTCGCTGCCTCGAGTTCTGCCATTACCACTTCAATGCTCCGTAAATAGCAAGAGACAACTTTAGGTGGATAGTCAATGGCTTGGTACGCCTCCTGGAGTCGGCGCCAGAGGAATAGTCGCAATGTAGCATCTCCTCTATCGAGGAAGGCAGCCATTTCACCAAGATGGGAGGTAGGGTGATTCATGTCATTCTCCGTTGGCATTTCAGCAGCATACTCAATCGATGAGGGTTCAAGAATTGGCTCTATTGCTTCGATAAGAGTCACGGGATCCTCGGAATCTGAGTTGAATACCTTGGCGAAAAAGTCCATGCACTTGAGCTTCAAGACCTCCTGGTCGATCACAGCAGCGGACATTTCTGACATAGTAGTGTTGTTTATGAGGTTGACACTTGGGTTGCCGAGGGTCTGAAGTATTTGCTTCAGGTCTTGAAGGCAGAGCAGGATATGTTCTCGTTGTGCGTCCCCGGCAAGACTGATATGGAATGCCGACGCCCACAAATGGCGTAGAGTGAGGTTTGATTGAGATTCGCCAGATGGGCTGTGGTTGACAAAATGATCTATGGATGATCGGGCTAGCATACCCCAGCGAGCCAGCCGATCACGCTGCGCGAGTCTTGTCCCCTGGTCTGTTTCACTTCCAAGACTCTCAACTGAAGCAAAAACATCCAAATGAAGTTCGTAGATGGTCTGTATCATCTCAAGTTCGAAGAAGTCTTTGGCCTTATATTCAAATGGAGCTCCATTGTTTGAGCTAAGAATTCGAGCTTCGAGATCGGCGATCAGTTCGCTGCACATCTGGTAGGTAAATTCATCTTCCCGAACCAAAAGTTCTACCACTGTCTTCTTCAGGTCCTTTCGCCACAGAAAACTAGCGTAAGTTGACTTTGCTGTCGACCAGTTTGAAGACACCTGGCCGAAATCCGGCATGAGAAGGCACTTTAGCCATTCGAACGAAGTTTCATGGGGATGTAGCCAGTCAGAGTTGATGGCATTAGAAAAATTATAAAGTTGTTCCCCAGACGGAAGCTCTTCTTCAACAACTGGCTTCCGGGCACCTTTTCTTGAGTGCTCAAGGAATACAGCCAACCCTGACTTGCTCGTGCCACTAATGTCCTTCAGCGGAGATAAATCGTCTTTCTGCTGCATCAATCGAGACTTTTCGTCATCCCATGTCTTGATGAGACCTCGGAAATCCTGAAACAATCGTGTCTCCAGATCTTGAGGTGTATCGATTGTGTCATTCCCAGAACACTTTCCTCTCAGAGCTTCAATGCTACCAAGTGCATCGATGCCGACTTTCGAGAAGAGAGAATCAACGGTACTGAACATCCAATCATCGGCATTGACAAAAACTTCAAGACGGTCTTCGTAGTACTTGTCTTGATCGAATGCAACTTCGTCGGGTAGTGCCAGGGCGTCAGCATTTGACTCTCGGGCTCGGGTCCGTCTGCTTTTCATCCGGCCGCCCTCCGATTCTTCGTTCGCAGCTGATGCAGACGATCTTTTGCGAATGTCCACTGCAGAGTTCGTGTCAACTTCTTCTACATGAGTCCCATCTTGTTCGGCCTGTTTGTCTTGTGGCCGCGTCGATTGATTTTCCAACGACTCCATCAACTGCTTTTCAGCACTTTGATCGATGGATGATTGTTCCTCACCTGGCTCAGAGGGCTCTTTCGTTCGCTGAGGTGGACTTCGCTCAGGCTTGCCATCATTTTCAGTTGTTTCAAGCATCACGTCGGCAACCTCACTATCACCCTTGTTTCCGTGCCCCTCGGTATCTACGTTCATTTCCGTGTCCTCTGCATTTGCGATCGGCGTAGTTGGAGCTTGGGAGCTTCTGGCAGGTAAGATAATGCCGATAGACCGGGTGGGAAAATCAGCGAGCGTATCATGATCTTCATCGTCAAGTAATTGGAGAAGCGCCTTGCCAACTGACTCCCAGGTTGGGTCAGTAGGGCTTATCTCTCGACGGGAAGTGTGCAGGGCAAGAGGACCATTCGACGGATTTAGGTGGCGTAAATCGGCGGGAAGGGCGGGCAGGTTCGGATATGGATCCTCGTGCTGTTTGAGGTACTTCAATAAAGCTTTCTTTGGCCTCTGGGCTGGGATTTGCGAGGCAGATAACTTGTCAAAGAGCGACTGCAGCGTGCTCCGCAGGCGCTGCTCCGCAAATACCTCCTCTAGTCCAAGTTGTTCCGGCCGTAGTTCCAAGCGGTTGTCATCGTCCGCTAGCACACTTTCCAAGCAATAGCGAGACAAGCGGTAGCTGTTTAAGGAACTGCTGAGTCTTGCGCTTTGCCTCCAGAGGTTGAGATCTGAGTCGTCACGTTCCAAAGCATCCCCGAAAGATCCCAAAGCTTTTCTCGAAGCCTCGGTCAACTTCCTTTGTGTTTCCTGCTCGGACTCGGGGGTCTGTGGCGCTGTTCGTATGGAGTCTTGTACTGAATCAAGGACAAACTTGCCGTGGTTCTTATAGGACAGATAGAGCGTTTGGAATAGACTAGAGGTAGAGTCGTTCACGTTGAACTCGGCGATTGATTCTGTAGCAATTTCATCGTGCGTATCGTCGAATGCACCCCTTTTGAAATCGGAGATAGACTCTGGGTATTTGAAGATCTCCGAATTGAGGAGGGCTTCATAGGCTTCTGCAGCCTGCGAATAGTGCTCTGACCCCTGTGAATGTAGCTTCAAGGCACTGTGATAAAGCTTCAAAGCTTCCTCGATCTGAAGCTCCTTGGTGTCGTCAACTTCCTCTTCGACAGCCTCATCGGGCTCAACATTCAATGCGACCCAGCTCGACATGGTGTGAGCTACACGTGGGTCCCTCGAATATCAGATGGGAAAGAGAAATCAAGCGTCAGCATCGGGCAACCGAGACCCTAGATGCGGGCAACAATAATGAGCAAATCAATTGGTTATCGCGGGCAGACACACGTTATCACGCGTTTGTACTAATCGGGGAAAGTGCTTGGTGCCTTGATGCCTTGATGCCTGGGTGCCTTGTGGCCTTGGGCCCTTTTCTGGGGGCAGTAGTTACTAACAGTTGGAGTATTCTTAGATCGCTCTTCACTTTCCCCTCAGCGCAACCCCTGAAACGTCTTACGATTCACGCAGAATTCATTAATTGAAATACCCTCATCTTTGATTCCACCGCGCTTGTGCAGGCGCCATGGTCGCGCCCGCTGTCCCTGAGTATGTGCTCCTATCCCCGTTTACGTGTTCCCCGGGTTGCGGGTTGCGTATGCATGGCCAATTGTTCGAGATTGTCAAGAATTGCCACGACGAAAATTACAGGAGTTGTGACTGACTTTAAGAGCATTATTTAGGATTCACGAGGAGGAGGATATCTATGTTGCGGTCGATGCGCGAACGGAGTCCTTGCAGAGCTTGCGAGAACTAGGTCCTCCAGACCTAGTCTATTTGGTCAAGCAGCCCAAGGCCAATTCGACTCGCCAGGTAAGATATAAGATACCAACTTTCCTCCCATGATATTATATACTGTGTGAACAATTGATTGATTTTCTATCTATTGCAGACCGGAGTTTATCATCATGTCACCGGAATCGATGCTTCCTCGTCCGCTAGCCTAGCCGCCTATGTTAATACCCTCACATTCTCTCCCCTCGACAAGACGCATAAAGTGGTGTCGGGGATCTACTGGTTAGAATCTGATCACTGTACGGTGTTTGGTTCACATGCTGATATCTATACAGTTGCTACAATGCATTCTCCCATCTCGATATGCGCGTCGAAGTTAAAATTCCCGGAAGTTTGGAGAGCTACTGCATTGATGAACGGGGTGACAAGCGGGTTGCCACTGAGGCTCTTTGGCTTGAGACCTTCCTTTGCGCCGTTCTGAGGGCTTACCTTTATGCGGACGATGGAAGTGGAGATTCGGTCAAGAGGATTGTTGGAGTCAGACGATTCAACCCCGTGACAAACACGGAGATGGAGCACAAATTCCTGGATGCTGCCGAGAAGCTTTTTTTTCTTGGGTATGGATCTCAAACCAATTGGCCTGTTGTGTCCCTGACTAACAACACTTTAGGACGCCAACTGAGCTCTGACCCCGAAACCCAAGTCCCTAACACTGTGAGCAACCACCTCACATCCGGAATCCTCAAATACATCCATACGACTGGCCGCTATACCTCCGGAATCAACTTATTCGAGAAGCTCCGCACAAAGGATGTTGAGGTTTCGTCCCTCCTGGCTCGTGTGCAAATTATGGCAGACGAGGAGGTACAAGCGGTACGCCTCATGTATGACGCTTTACAAGATGTTCCGATGGACTATGCTCTACTCGATTGCCAGGCTACTTTCTGTCAAAGCAAAGGCGAAAGCGAGATGGCACTTGAGTGCGCTAAGCGTGCAGTTACTGCAGCTCCCAGCGAATTCAGTACATGGGCTCGCCTGGCAGAGGTATATGTCAGTATGGAACGCTGGGATTTGGCGCTTCTGACTCTCAACTCTTGCCCCATGTTCACCTATCAAGACAAGGATACCCCTCGCATGCCACAACCGTCACGCATCATGCTCCCAATTCTTGCTGAAAGTATTCTCGATGAAATCGACGAAGGCCAGCCAAAGCAGGGAGACCCGCACGACTATGTTCACCCTTCGCTTCGGAAAATCCATGCTGCTAGTTACCAAGGTACTTTCTTAAAGGCCTACAATCTTCTGACCAAAATCGCTGCTGCCATTGGATGGGACCAGCTACTCAAGGCTCGTAGCCAGGTTTTCGTGATGGAAGAAGAATACCGCGTTGAGCGGCAGCACGTTCCTAAACCCGCTACATCCTCAGGGGCGGAGACAAATGGCAATAGCCCCAGCAACGAAGATGAATCTGGCTCTGTGGCTGACCCTGACGCGACCGAGCCGTCTTCGGAAGAAATTACCAATGGAGATGTGGGAGACAGCCACGCTGAAAGCCCCCTCGAGCGACCGGAGCAAACAGTGGCATCCGAAGTTGTCAAGTCTGGCAAGGAAGATGTATGTTACACACCCATCAGGTATTTTTTTGTTACATATGCTAACTGTTTATGTCACAGCCTGACCCATCTCACGCCGCATATACCCAATTCCGAAACAAGCGACTTTGTGAAAGATGGCTAGATAACTTGTTTATGGTACTTTACGAGGATCTGCGTATCTACACCATTTGGCGGACCGAAATGGCCCAGTTCCGTCAACAAGCCATGGAATACAAGAAATCTGCTACGGAGTGGGAAATCCTTGGTGAGCTTGCGCAGCGACTACACCATTTCGACGAAAGCATTGAGGCATACCAGAGCTGTCTAGCCACTCGATTCTCCCCCAAGGCTATGCGTGGAGTGTTGAAATTGTACGAACAACGAAATGACACCAGAGGCATGCTTGGCGCGTTGATCCGCCTCATCGCATGGCAATATCGTTGGTACTCCGAAGTATGCTCCTTTCCCCTGGCTAATATCGCTTTGACCACTATAACTAATAAACTATCAGTTCTCCCCCGAGCTTTTGTTCCTAGTTCGCAAGCTCATTGAGGACGAGGGTGCTGTTAAAGTCCGCAGCATTGTCCAAGCGACCAACTTGCCTCAAGCCGTCCTCGACCTCACACACCAGTACTGTCAACTATGTGCTACCTTCCGCAGCAGTGGTAGCGACACTTAAATATGTTGGAGACAACCAGACGCAAACTGAGCTAGAAGGCAGTTTTATGCCTGGCCCTGGATATCAAGATAGAAAGCGGGGCGCATGCAGGGCTAATGACCATCCTTGATTCATGACATCTCTTTTATTTTCACTTCCTCTTAGTCTGATCATTAGGCAGTTTTCTTAGATGGTATATATATTTTCTTTTCTATGTTCCGTATCTGGTCGTGTGCCTCATTCAAATAGGTGAATCTCATCCGGACTAACCACTGTAGTAGTTTGGGGGGTTTGTATCCATTTTGGCGTATCGGAACCCACTGGAGTGGAGAGGAACATAAGAGGATTCAGCCAGTAAATGCGCTTCAACGGTGATTTCTATGCACGTCATCTCCAAGTCCCCCAGAATACACCGAGGATTGGCTACTTCCATGAACTAGCTTGATGTCCCCTGGATCTAGTTATATAGATCAGAGCTTACTTCCAAAGTTCCAAACCACAGCACTACATCTACATTCATAACCACTCTGATTGAATACAGGATTTATCACAGCAAAGCCATCGAATGACCCCAAGCGAATTTCATTTTAGTTCGATGTGAAATTCTTGCCTCGACGGAACCAAATCCTCGATAGCAAAATCACTTCTCTTCCTCAGCAGCCTCAATCTCAGGCAGATCTGACTCCTTAGGGACAGCACCGCCCTTGTCCTTAGCAGCAGCGGCAGAAGGTCCATTATCGGCAGCGGCATCAGGGGAACTCTCTTCCACGTCTTCTCCCTCATCGACCTCTTCGTCTTCTTCGCCCTCCTCGCCTTCTTCGCCCTCTGCGCCGTTCTCGGCCTCGTCGTCATCGACAACAACGGGTGCAGTCTTCTGCTTCTTGGCTGCCGGGGCGCCTGGAGAGGGGTAACGTGTGTTAGCGTGTGTGAAGGTTGGGAATGAAGAGGAGATCCATAAAGGCCAAGGGTTAAAACATACCTTCGTCTTCGTCTTTGGCTTTGGCTTCGTCTTTGGCTTCAGGTTTGGCTTCGGGTTTGGCTTCTGCTTCTTGTCCTTCCTCGTCTTCATCAGACTCAGACTCTCCCTCAACCTCTTCCTGTTCGCCCTCGTCGCTTCCTTGCTCTACTTCAGGCTCGGAGTCTTCATATCTAATTCACCTCGCGATCGGGTTAGCAAAGGCAGATTGTATTTGAAGGGTTTCGCGCGGTATGTTTCAATCCACAGCAGCTTTGAGATGGTATCAAGGTGGGATGCGCAGTTAGGATAGCCGTCAAATTGCAGTGGGATGATGCGCAGGGCATTGGCGCATGAATGGGATGGAAGGGATATTTGATAATAAGATGGCACAACTCACTCTTCTTCCTCTTCGCTCACATCGCTAGGAAGGGCCTGGAGCTCCTCCTCGGCCTCTTGCTTTCTCTTGCGGGTAGTCATAGTGAAGAATTAAGGGGTTGGTGAGAATTATCTAAGTGTAGAGGGAAGGGAAGGGTTAATTTATGGGAAAGAGAGAGAGAGAAGGTTCTGGATTGGCAAAAGTCCCGAGTCTAGGGGGAGGACGGGAATTATAGAGGAAATTAGACGCTCTAAGGAGAGGGAAGGGGGAAACCCCCAAGGGCATAAGCGGGAGGTGACGGTGACGACATGGGAGTGACAAGACTTTAGGGTTGAGGTCCACGGGTGATAGCTTACACCCCCCGAGTGGAGTCTGGGTGCGTGGTCTATACCTCAAGGGTGCGTGTCGCCAATTCTCGTTTACATTCCATGTCCATCATGGTATTCAAAATGTTTCCGCTATTGATATCTGGTATGGTATCCTTGATATTCCAGGTTTAGGTCAATTCATGTCTTTCTTATAGGTCTTGTGGGATCTTTATGGTCATGTCATTGAGTTAAAAACTCAAAATCTGCCATACTTGGATCTAGCAGATTCTCGTCAAGACCAAATCCGTATGTGCCAACCATACCATAGATCAGATCTGGCGGAGGGAATCCCTGTGCCATGGCGTTGGCTCCTCCAGGGACCTCGCGACCTTCCGTTGTGGTATCATTGTTTCCTTGGAATTGCCAAGCAGCCTCCCAAGAGTCAAATCGCTCGAGCATCTTGCCTAATCCACGTGCGATATGCCGAGTAAGATGTCGCTCGCCTGCAGAGACACAATTCATCAATTCAATCACACGCTCAACTATCCGTCGCACTTGGCGAGAGTTGATGCTAAGGTACGCGGTGTTCCAATTGATTGCGACCTTGAGTAAGAAAACAGCGGAGAATGTAACCATAGTGTGCGTAAAGATCGGAACACCGACGATCGCGTCTCGAATATCAGGCTCCTCGAGAACCATATTGAGACATGCCATCGCCGAGGAAATTGCGATGTTGGCCGATTCCTTACGGTCCATAGAGAAGACAGGTGTATTGGATGGTGAAAGCGCACGAAGAGAAAGCGAATTCAACTGGAACTTTGCAAAATGGTAGTGCAGAACAACCCCTTTGGATGGATAAGTTCGCACGTATGCGCTATCGGCTGTAATGCGTTCCAAGTTATGTTAGAACCGAGAGTTGCGGAGACTTAGATTGACAAATCACTCACCAGATCGAGGCTGCCAGAGAAGTCGCCATTGGTCTACTGCGACATTGTATACGCGCAACTGTCCAAAATCCTCCTCGGTCAATGCTTGTTCAGTATCACTACCAAACATTCGATATGCCTCGGTCAAAATCATAAAGAGAGCAACTTGAGCTAAAAGTCGAATGTCGCCGGGGACGACCATCGGCAGCGCGAGGAAGGTCTCATAATTACGAATCACCACATCCTCGTGGATGACAGGTGGTCGCCCATAAGCAATACTGAAGTGGTGGTCACACACGTAAAGCAGGTACCAGAGCTGGGCGCGTTCATATTGATCCGTGTGTCCACGAGTCAGGCGCTGATAACTTTGATGGAGGCCCATCTCGGTCGCGATTCGTACCGCATGCCCGGACAACTTCCAACTCAATTCTGATAGCCAGAATGCCCCCACGCAGAGGCCTCGGATATCATCCAGAGTGTGCGCCCGTGTGAGGGCCATGTTGGACACGAGTGATACATACTCGCTGTAGCACCGGTTCAAGGTTTCGGTGCGGTTCGGGATATGGAGTGCCGCGACAGTCAAGACCGCGGCAGAAAGAAGCGTCGATGCGCGGCGGACGGACGTTAAATCGCGGTGTACAAGAATTATTCCACCCCACAGTAGCTGGTTCATAGTGCGACTGAAGTACGCGAATAATTCCTCTGCTTCATGGAGAGATATCAGTCGTCGCGATATAAAATCCTCCTCTAGCAACGTCTGTTTCGGTGCCTCGACATGATTGTTTCTTAGGTTCCGTAATTTAGTGACCTCGTATAGACTGCGCATAGGAGCAGGGACCAAATCTGGGTCTTGGAGATCCTGCTCCGGCGACGGCTCCCGGGTAACATCCATCACGACTCGCAATCCCTCCTGGTGGCTGGTTTGTGTCTGCGACCGATCGACGGACGGATGGTGGCCATTATACGACTCGGCAGGACTGGGACCATTGAAAGTGTCCCCAGGAGGATAGGTTGAGAGCTCAGGCAGTCCGCCTTGTCGTAATAGATGCGAAACAGCTGCCTGCAGCTGGTGCATAGTCGCATTTGCCTGTGATTTCCATCTATACCAAAGCTATTAGATTAGCGTAACCCCTGATGGCTCCAATATTCACCAACGGCCGAGGCGGGGGGTCACACGTACATCCCATCATCATCAACGAATTTCTGTGAAAAGTCGTTTACGACGCACTTTATACCACTACGAGTACATTTTGTACAAGTTGTTTCTCCTGCCCGAAACTCGCAGCGAATCTTATGACGCTTGCATTCTGCGCCTGCTCCCCGTTAATTGGGGGGGTGGTATGGGAGATGATGTGGGGAAGACTCACATGCACGAGCTTTGGAGATTTTGGGGGTAGAACGTGCCTTGTTCTCTTGGGGTGAGTCCAGCCCAGCATCATCAGGGGACCGCTTCAGTGGAGCAGTGGTATTCATGATGTGATGGCTAGTCTCTAGTTGAATGGTGTGGGAAGAGTCGGTGATACTCCGGGCATGCGGGTTAGGGGGCAAAGTCTTCCTCGGAGTGGAGAAGCGTCGGAGTAAAGCGAGGAAGAACACGAGTACGCCGAGAAAGAGATAAATTGCAATTATATTTTTCAAGAGTGATGCTATGGCCAATGAGCATACATACACAGAGTTAATATCCAAGAGATCAAGAGAAAAGAAAGAGAAAAGAAAAGTTGTGAGACTTGGACCCCCCCCGCGGACTCAACTTCCCCTCAAATCCACAACTTGACGTTGTTCTATACATTGAAGTGCTGTGTGTTTTCAATCTTACGACTTTAATAAAATGTGAATTGAGTATACTCTGTATACTCCATGAATACAGAACAGTAAATCCTATGTCTTTATATCTTCTTCAACTGACAGGTCACTCACAGTACCACCAGGGCCATGGACAATCGAGGCATTCCCCAGAATTCAAGAGACCTCAATTCAGATCCTGGAACAAAAGAGGACCCTGAAAGGCGAAAACTCCAAGGCGATTCGTGCAAAGCAGTTCCACAACAGATCCACTTGGGAACTGTGCTGTGCCGGCCCAAGTCCGGTGCGGAGGACCACCTAAAGATCGCCTCGGACTTGATGCGAATGCGGAGAGAAACTATAACTTACATATTGAAATACCATTCCCTTCGCTATTCCTTGTGTATTACACTATTCTCCAGAAAATGCATATCCTCATCACTGGCGCTGCCGGTTTCATCGGCCAATTGCTTGCGAAGGAACTGTTGAATGACCCAGCCTATCGCGTCACATTGACCGATATACATCAACCCCCGATTCCCGCCGGTGTTCGCTATCCCCAATCCGCAACGGCGATCAAGGCCGATCTCTTGACAGGAGCCAAGGACATTGTCGATTCTTCCTTAGACGCCGTCTATGCCTTCCATGGCATCATGTCGTCCGGCTCCGAAGCCAACTTCGATCTAGGCATGAGTGTCAACATCGATGCAACCCGCAACCTGCTCGAGGCGCTCCGACACACCTGTCCCGGAGTGCGGGTCATATATTCGTCTAGTCAAGCCGTATACGGCCAACCGTTGCCAGAGATTGTGACCGACAGCGTGATCCCAACTCCAGAGTCCTCCTACGGCGCCGAGAAGATCGTGTGCGAAACGCTGGTTAACGAATACACTCGCCGCAAGTTCATTACCGGCTTCACCCTGCGGTTCCCTACCATCTCCGTGCGACCAGGTGCGCCTACTGCTGCAGCTTCGTCATTCCTCTCCGGCATGATCCGGGAGCCCCTCGATGGCAAGAAATGTGTGATTCCCATTGAAGACCGACAGTTCAAGTCGTGGCTATGCTCGCCCAAGACCCTTGTGGAAAATCTCCTTCTCAGTCTCCGTCTTCCTGCTGACTCTGTTCCCCCGCACATTCGCCAGATTAATGTGCCTGGAATCTGCGTCACGGTTCAGGGCATGATGGATGCATTGGAAGCAGTGGGCGGTGCAGATAAACTGGCCCTTCTTATAGAGAAGGAGGACTCTGCGCTGATCCCAATTTTGAAGTCATGGCCGACGCAGTTTGATAACACTCAAGCCATTTCATTGGGATTCAAACGCGACGAGTCTTTTGAGCAAACCGTGCGGGATTATAGACAGTCGTTGGCACAATGATTATTAAATAGATTTCAAAAACTTCAATATTATTTATTGGTCTTTCTCAATCCTCTTGTTATTTTACGCACAAGAAGGACAAAGAACGCATGGTTGGATTTTATAGAGAGACTGTGAGAGAGAGAGACAACCGGACAGTTAGCCAGCTGAGACACTTGTCGGCCCAAGTCACCACCTGCAGCCCGCTTTTCCTTGTAAACAACGCACCTCCCTTCAACTCTGGGACTGCTCATCGGAAAAGCGACTTGGGTGAGATATTCTATAATCTCTCGCTCACAATAATAAAATCCCAAAATGCCAACACAAATCTCCCTTCTCGTGTACAAAGGCGTGCCAGTAGACTTCTCCAAATACCGACACACAGCGCTACACGCCCTCTACCCCGACGGCCAATATGATTGGCTTCATGCTGTCGGCGCACATCCTTTCTTTAAATTCCAAAAAGACAGCGAGAACCCCATGTCGGAGGAGCCGATAGCTTGGATTCCTGTATGTACAGCGCCGGACTTTGTCACGAAGGCGAAAATCATTTTTGCATGTGCTTGCACGTCGGTGCGCAACAGCAACAGCGACCGAGACTGGAACTGCCAGAACTGGGTTGGAGATGCCCTGACTGAGCTCGTTAAGATCGGCTGTTTGACCAAAGAAGAGCGTGCAGCAGCCATTGATAAAATGGTCGAGACTATCTTGGAGGCGGAGCTGGAAGATGTGAGTTATAGTTGTCCCACGGAGGAAATTATATCTACTAATATGGGCTTGGTGCTTGTGCATAGGATGGGATGTTTTAGGCCTATGTGCTCCTTTTCCTGCTATTCTCGGCTATAGGAGTGAAATTCGTGCCATATCGCATCACAGCGTGGAAGACATGCATCGCATTTGTAATTACGAAGTTTCTTGGAGTTCAGGAGTTCAGTAATGATATCCATGGTCTCATATATCTTTATACATCATTGTTTAATGGAACTTAGCCGGCTGTATATATACCACCGGCACATAAAACAGAACATCAGCCTAGGGGGATCATTCCCAAACCTGCGATTCTCTTAGCACGCATCCTGGAATTCAAATCAACAGCTCGCCCAAACCTGTCCGTCTATGGCAATAAGTCGATTGAACAATTGGTTCCTCGTCCCCATAGCAGTGAGTTGATATGACTGCCCTGGCTCTTTGCCAGTGATGAGCAAACCATCAACCACCTCCTTACCACCAAGAGCCCAACCAACAACCATTTTCCCCTTCCATCCCATGCCACCTAACTTTCGCATTTCCTGGATATCAGTCACCGGCATGCTGAATAGAACAGATCCACTCTTGCGATTCTCTAACTGTGCGTCTCCTTCCTGCGGTGTATCGGTCGTGAAATATAGCAGTGGAGGCTCCTTGGTTGAGTCGATAATCACAGTGCCGCGCTTACCTTTGCATCGAGCGTCAAATGTCACAGGCCCACTTGGTGCTATCCTTTTCCCTCTAGCACGTAGGACACCGACACGATTCTTGGCATGGTGGCAACCGGTTGCTGCTCGCAAGCGATCAATCCCTCTTTTGCTCTCAACGCCACTAGCTGTAGTTCCTCGAAAGAAGCCCAGTATTCTAGACCCCAATGTCTTTTTGTGGCTCTTTTCTGGCAGATCTTGGACCTCCTGGGCATGCTCGTCGGGATTGACCTGTGCAGCTTGTTTACTTTCCTCGTCAGTGGCATCTGGAGTCGGTTCCTCCTGGTTCAAAGACGCTGGCCGCGAGGGCACTCGGTCTTCTGAAGTTGGAGGGGGTGGAAGTGGTGACCCATTAGCCTCGCCGATGCGGAGAAGAGTAACGGCGAGCTGAGCATTTGTTGGGATACCTTTCAGAAGGGAGCTGTTGATAGTTAGTTAGTATTGTGAGTACATGCACGGCTTGAAAAAATACTTTTGCAGCTGAACAAGCTCCCGCCAATTTGGAAGGCGGCGATTCAGATATACAATCCCTCGTCTGATGACAGGGTCTCCAAAGAAGGCGAGCCCGATTAAAAGTGTACTGAGCTTCATGAAAACATAGCAAGATGTCAATATTGAGGCCAGGAATGCCGGGCCCAACACAGCCACTAGTCGCAGACGAGGACTCAGTTGAGGAAACGGGGTCGTTGCAGACAGAGCACTAGATAAAGTTAATCTAATCTAACTCCAAGCCGTGGAAAAGACAATCACAATTCATTTACTCACTTTCCCAGCTTCTCATAGGTATCTGCAATGTCGCCTACCACTTGCATAGAAATATTCGCAGCGTCCATCACGCTCTCCTTCATAGGTGGTCGTGTTTGATCACGGGAGTCTTTCGGCACCTTTCCATGGGCAGCGCTTTGCACATCGGCAGTATTAGAAACCATATCCGTCGCGTCTGGTACATCGTCTTCGAAGGGCGTATCATCAGGGACCCCTTGATCATGCTTTCCGACTGCGCCTCCTACGGCCACACAGGCAACGCTTGCGACAAGGTTACTGGCCTCTTGTTCAGCTGCCTCGCCTTTTAATTTCTCGGGGGCCCCAGTAATACTATCATCAGATCCGAGGATTCCCGCCTTTGGCTTTTGTATATCGCCCGTATCTTTGCTGACAAGAGGAATTGGAGCGGGAGGGAACATGACTGATCGACATGGGGGGTAGACCACTAGGGTAAGTAGGGTGCCCAGGGTAGTTGGAACAAGTAGATCGAGAAGCCATGATAAGGCGTAAACCTACATCAAATCAGTAACAGTACAAGCAAAGGTCTATTTCTAGAACGGAGACATGCCGTGCAAAAGGCAGCGGTTCGTCGCGGCTCTTTCCAAGACCGTAGTCGAGCAATATGTTTGATACAATCGGTTAAGCCGACAATAACGGTTGTGTAGCAACGTTCAAGTGTAGCCCTCAGTTTATCCGGCGAGAATTCATCGTCGTCTTTTCGCGTGAGATCTAGTTTCTGCACGGGAGCATCTGGGACTGCTTTGACTCGATAGACTTGCTGAAGTGCAGAATGAGGAAGTCAGTTCCAAATTCTCGTACATGAGGGATTCAAGTCACATACCTTGTCAAATCGTCGAATAAGCATCCACAAATCCTCATTTGATAGTCCGCCCACTAAAGGCTGAGCGATGGCATCGGGAGATTCACCCCATCCGATATTGGTAATTTCTGCTGTTTGGCCAGCTTTTTGTGAGAAGCCTTTCTCGTCCTGTTCAACCCGAGACAGCACATGGCTCTCAGTTGGTCCCTTTGGGATATCAGGATCTGTAGTAAGATTGTTATCAGTCTTATTCGTAGTACCGTCAACCGAAGGAGATAACATGGTCCGTTCGTCTATTGCAGACCTGAGCTGGGTGTGAGATTGGTGTAAAATGTCGGAGACTATTATGAGGAACTTGTTTTGTTATTTTGAGATCTCACAGGCTTGATAGAGAACGTCTATCCATGGTTGTTGAAACCTCATGTAGTTTGAGCGAGTTGTCGACGTCATCTTCCTTCGAATCTGGGTAACGGTGGCAATGGCAATCAACAATAACAATTTCAAGAAGCAAATTGGATTATTTTAGTAGAGATTGTGTAAAACATAACGTGAGAGTAAAAATATGTTGGACTGGTAAAAAAAAAAAAAGGAATATAGGCCTGACTATATTGCTGGGTTAACTACAAAAGCTGCCCAAGTGCCATTAAACCTGGGAGAGGATGAACCACCTTAATAAGAGGAAGTGGAACCATAAAAAGGAACCTTGCAAACAAATGTCCTCAGAAAGATCTTCGGACAACAGAGAGCTATCTCTGGTATAAAGGTTCCAAAAATTAATGTCGGAGGAGATGAGAACAGAGCCCCTTCCTAGTTTGAAGATCCTTTGGTTCGGCTCCTGGCGGACAACGGGAGCACCCAAGCCAGTACAGTCTGTTTCCGCAGCGGTGCATAGGAGTGCCTCAGCCGGAGCCTACACCTGTTACCTCCCAGACATGCTTCGTGCCATTCGCAGCCTGACGAGGGCCGCCTACAGAGACCCGCCAGAGTCATCAGGATAAACCGATCACTTGACAACAGCATCAATATGTTGAATAGAGACCTGAAGCCAGAACCAAAGGTGACAAAAAATTGAAGGGTACTCAACGGGAACCACGATGTGCAATGTGGACCCGGAGTGGGGTGAAGAAGGAAGAAAGAAGAAAAGGAGAAAGTGGGAGGGGGAGGGGGTATTTATATGGAAGGGAAACGGGGAAACTGCAGTAGGTGACGAGCCCAAATAGGAAGGAACTGTCACGATCTACGATCTCCATCTATCACATTGCTCTGGCACATGCTTTGTCACATGTCAAGGATCTTCAAATCCCAATTCCAATTGCCAATTGCCACCATAAAAACAACGAGCTAAATGCGAGCTAAAAATCGAGCCTGTTGGAAGTCCGCAAACCAAGTAGAATGTAAGTTAAGAGCAGTTCTACGAAAGATATTCTTCTATCTCTTATCACCACGTGTACCCACGCAGTGCCCTTAATTTGGCCTGAAGTCCTGCTTATGCTTTTTACCGCCTTCATATACATCTAAAAAAATATATAAAATATATATAAAAAGACTCTTGTTTTGTATGGGTCGAAAAGCTTCATTTATATCGTGCCTAAGAGTTTACAATAGTACACTGTATTTTGTACACATTGTTAGAGATCTGAAAGCGGTCTAAAATCCGGTACCCATCAGGCACCATTCAGGCCAAAATCAGGCCAAAATAACTATACACCCTGGGTAGCACGTGCCAGTCGCGTTCCCAAAAAGGCAACATCACTTCGCGTCCAACCGGCGAGACTCGCCTTGATGAAAATTCGCCCTACTGATCTGCCATTTAGTCACCGGACAATTGACTCGCCATGAGCGAGGAGTGTGCAAACCCCCTACTTCTGGGGTGGATCAAAGAATGGCTAGATCAAGCTCGAGAACGAAACAGCAAAGGCGTGACCGTGTACGTATCTCTTGGCGCCCTTCGGGGAAGACTATATCTGACATCCTGCAGATACAAGAAGGCTTATGAGTCAATGAAAGCCTGCCCGTTAGAATTCCAACATCCATCCCAAGCACAGCAATTGAATGGACTAGGTCCCAAATTGTGTGACCGCTTGACCGATAAATTAAAGGCCCACTGTCAAGAAAATGGGCTTCCAACGCCGGAACCGCCTGACAAAGGTTTGTGGTATCAATTGCACCCTGGCAACCCAACCGACACTCAACTAGAGTCATATAGGTGGAAAAAGAACATCTGAAGGCGGCGTCGACCAACCGGCGAAGAAGCCTCGGAAAGCCAAGCCGTATGTACCAACATTACGATCTGGTCCATATGCACTGATCTTGGGCTTGGGAACCCAGGATGAGAATGCATCTCAGGGGATGACTAAAGCCCAACTGATCGAGGTGGCCCAGCCGTACTGCGACAGTTCGTTCACGGCACCCCCAGACCCGACCAAGTTTTACACTGCATGGAATTCAATGAAAACTCTCATCCAGAAGGATCTAGTCTATGAACATGGACGTCCACTTCGGAAGTATCTTCTTTCCGAAGAAGGCTGGGAGGTAGCCAAACGTCTCCAAAGGACATTACCTGGCGCTTCTCAAACCGCCACGTCTGGCTCACAGACCACTGCAACGACTGAGTCACAGCAAGGAGCATTGACAGCCGAACTTGACTCATTTCAGCAAAATGATGATCCATCGGCAGACGCCCAGGAAATTTTGTCCGAGCAGGACATAGCCAACATCGAGCCCATCTTCTTCCCACCCAAGAGCTTCACCATACAGCTCGTATTGGACACCCGAGAAGTCCGCACCTCCACCGATCGCGACTATATCTCTGGCGAACTGATGAAACAAGGAATCACGCCGCAAGTACGGGCGCTGGAAGTCGGCGACGCGATGTGGGTGGCTAAATGCCATGACCCAACCTTCCTCACGACACACGGCGAAGAAGGCGACGAAGTCATGCTAGACTGGATCGTTGAACGAAAGCGTCTGGACGATCTGATCGGGTCTATTAAGGACGGCCGCTTCCACGAACAAAAGTTCCGACTCCGTCGCTCCGGCATCAAGAACGTCATCTACCTAATCGAAGAGTTCGCAGTCACGCATCCTGACTCGACTAGCGGAAGTGCAGCACAATACCAGGAGATGGTTGCGTCGGCCATCGCCTCGACACAGGTTCTTAATCAATACTTTATCAAAAAGACGAAACACTTGGACGAGTCAATCCGGTACCTAGCGCGCATGACTCTGCTCCTGCGGAAGATGTACGGGGTCGAAGATGCGCTCCCCGTGCAAGACACTGATAGCAATATCAACAGTAACACGGTTCCTCCGTCCCCAGTGTCCAAAATTGGCCTCATCCCGGGCCGTCGTCTCTCCACTGACTCCTACCTCACAATCCTCGATAATCTCCGCTCTCAAGACCCGTCCATCACGTACGGGGTCTCATTCGTGACGTTTTCCGCGCTCACTTCCAAGTCCGACGTTCTCACTCTTCGTGATGTGTACTTGAAAATGCTTATGTGTACCCGTGGCGTGACGGGCGAAAAAGCCCTTGAGATCCAACAGATCTGGCCAACGCCGCGGCATTTGGTGGATGCCTACATGGCTCTAGAACCTGAGGAGCGAGAGACGATGATATCAACTCGGATGTCAGAAGTTGTAGGACGGAAGAAAGTTGCTAAAGATCTCAGCAAGCGCATTGCAGAGGTTTGGGGAGAGGTGAATTTGCATTAGGAAGTTCTCGTGTCGAGGCTAATTTGGAACAGACTTGAGTGCCGATTTAATTCATATATGTATTAGATACAAACCTAACGCCAAAATAAAATAAATGAATACCATACATAATGCCTACCTCTTCCATCTCACAATCTTCATAATACTTTCTTTATCAATCCTCAAAGCCAAGCTACTCAGCACAACAGAAATACTGCTCAATGCCATAGCCAGAGCAGCCCACACCGGACTTAGTCTCCAGTGCTCATTCGCCATGATCATCTCGCCATCAATCGTTTTCTCATGGTGGCCACTCACGATAGGATAGAGCACACCAGCAGCAACCGGAACCAAACAGAGGTTGTAGACGACCGCCCAGCCGAAGTTCATACGGACTCGATTGAACACACGGCGACTGAGCAGGACCAGCTGCAAAATCGTGCTGAGATCTGAGTTGAGTAGAATGAAGCTGGCAGAGTTGATAGCAACGTCGGAGCCAGATGCCATAGCGATGCTCACGTCTGCTGCTGCCAAAGCAGGCGAGTCGTTCACTCCATCGCCGACAAAAGCGACAATAGGACGTGGTGGGTTTGAACTCGATGTGGCAATGCCGTCATCTGGTGTTGTATTCAGAGAGCGTTCTTGAATCTGACGAACAAAGCTGGCTTTCTCCGCTGGCAGGACGTTGGCCATCACCTTGGAACGTGGGATGCCTAGCATGTCCGCGACGGCATGGGCGGTGGTCTGGTTATCGCCAGTGCACATGAATACATCGACGTGACGCTTCTGAAGCTGAGAGATTATGTCGACAGCTTCCGGGCGAATCGTGTCTGACGTGGCGAAGATAATGGCGGGTATGAACTTAGATGGTTCGGTGGGTGGAGGGTATATTTGACGGAGTGAGAGAACTGCAGTCGACTTTCCTGATGACTGGTATTTCGCCAGCAGGTTGGAAACGAAGTACGTGTCTATTTCGAGGGACAGTAGACTCTTGAGAAGACGTTCATTGCCAATTGCAGCTTCATATTGCGTTTCCTGCTCGGAGCCAGACACAGTAAAAGTTCCTTTCATGCCCTGCCCGGAAATCTCATGAACGTCTGAGGACTTGACAGAGAAAGATTGTTGTGTCTTGCAGAATTCAGTGATTGCCTGCGCAATCGGATGGTTGCTGCTCTCTTCCATTTTCCGAGCCAGAGCCCATGCGACTTTCACAACTTCTGGGTCATTGGTCAGAACTTCATGCTCAGAAACTTTCAGACTTCCACCCTCAGTCAATGTGCCTGTCTTGTCAAAGACGATTGCATTCAAGCGACTGGCCTCTTGGAAGGCTTCACCCCCACCTTTAACCAGGATACCATACTTCGCTGCCAGGCCACCTCCAACGAACAGCGCCGTAGGGGCTGCAAGGGCCAGGCCGCAAGGACAAGCCACCACAAACACTGAAATCGCAAATTCGAGCGCCCAGAATGTCCAGCCGCCATGTGCGACATCGAGATAATCTGCGGGGAGCACGCCAGAATGGCCAAGCGCCAGCCAGATAACGAAAGTCGAAATGGCGATTAGAGTGATAATAGGAACGAAATGCGAAG